TAATTTATCAAAAAATGTTTAATATAATTATAATATAAAAGTTAACATACCTATAAAACTATAACATACATATAAAAACTATAAAACATATAAACATAAATAGCTATAAAATATATATTATATATTTCTTTATATTTATTTATTGCTCTTTTATTATATGTAGGTTAATGTGTAAAAAATTATAAAATATTTATTCTTTAAAGTTATAATAATATACGCCGGCGCCGTTAAAATTATCATCGGCGCACACGTCGCGTATTTAGGCATAATTAGAGGTATAAGTTAATACTTGCCGAAAGGGCTAATCCTCATCCGGCTTAATAAGAAAAGATTACAATACCTATAGATGTATAAAAAGAAAATAACTTAAATACAAAAAACTTAAATTATGTCATAAAAGTAGGTAATACATTTTACAGACCAAAGTTCTTCCGGACTAAAATGTTAAAAAGTATTTTAATTTAATTTCATATTAATATTTTAAACCTAGGACAAATTATTAAATATTTGATAAAAAATATTATATAATTATTAGACTTATACCAAAAATGGTCCTGTTAAAATGTAAGCTCTTAATATTACATTTACAGGTCCCTCATCGGGAATTTTTATTTCCCATTAAAATAATATGAGATTTTTTAAAATACTTTAAAATTTTATAACTCGTAAACGGATTAGTAAAACTAAAACAAATTTTGGTAGGGCTCTTTTAAAAGGTATTCAAGGTAAAAGTTGAATTTATAGAAATTTTCAAGATTTTCAAACTTTTTCAGCAAAACAAAATTTATGGTAAAATTTAGTAGGACCCTTTTTTAGGAAAATATTATCTAAAACCATAAGCAAAGAAATCTGCCTTTTTATTTAAAAAGAAATGGTAAATAATTACATTAATAATTATAGTTGAAGCATGGCATTCCCAATGGGTTTGGACCCAATTTGGTCAAATATTATATTATCATTTAAAAATAGTCTATGTGCCATGCAAAACGACAAAAAAAATATTTTCCATATTATTTTTGTATTTTAAAGATGTATGGATTTTCATTGATTTCTCACAATTTTATTTTTGACACTTAGACCCTTTAGGAATACCAAGTTCAATTATTATAATAATTATAAATTTTTGCCGTTTCCATATTTTATTGGATTTTTATACATTGAAATAAGTTGGTATTGGGCAGATATTTCATAAAACAAGTAATAAAAACTAAAATGTTGATAATAGTCTCGATAATAGTATATTATTATACAAGAAATAATGCATTCAAAAGGATAAGGTTTGCATGTCGAGCCGTCAGGCGAGAGACGTAATTCATCCGAGTAAATAATGCGCATTATTTCGAGTGTAATACTATGTTTGTTCTACTCCAATTAAGAAATTTTCATTGATAACAAAATTAATTTATTATAACCTCACTTTTCTCCTATTTTAAAGATCATTATAGTCGCCCCTCGTATATATAAATAAATCTGACATCTGTCAACCTTACTTTTTTCTAATTTAAAACCCGATTGTTTCAAATATCAGTGAATATTAAAATAAGCCAATCACTGATACCTAACAACGTAAATATAATAATAATATCGTCGTTTATCTGACAAAGAGGCGTATCTCATTTTTAAACAAAACGGTGTGAATTGAATTACGCCAGTTTGTACGGCACACAAAATGCAAAAATATTAGTTACGCCGAAACTGATTTATGCTAAAACTTTATTTGTACCTATTTATTATAGAGCTACGCCAGTTTGTGAGATTATAAAGTCGATTTTGGTGATCATTCTGGTATAACTCAAAAACGATTTTTTTTGAGTTACGCCTCTTTGTCAGATAAACGACGATATAATATAATTCACTTTGATAGAACGGGCGGTTATATTGGTTACCATTATTTACGCAAAAAAAATCAAAAAATATCAATAATATGCATTATAAGTAAAAAAACGTATTAATAGTGCACAAAATGAATTTTAGTTTAAAATTTTAATGGGTTTAATTTACATAGTAAGAATAAATATTTTAATTTATATTGCCCAGATAACAAAAAATCACATTAAAAGGTAAATACATTAAAGAGGGTTATTAACAATTTTATTTGCAAAATTATGCAAAAGTTTATAATTATTTTAGTATTATCTATATTATCTAAATTTCATTTAAATATATTATTTTATTAATTACAACTTATTAATTATATAGTTTATTTAATAAGTTCAGGGCCGTAGCGACGGACTCAGGGGCCCCGGTGCAAAACTTATCAGGGGCCCTCGATTTTAAAACTTTATGTTTAAAAGTAGAACTTGCCTTCGCATTATTATTATAGGGTAATGAAATAACATGAAATATAATGGGTTTTTCATAAAGAGTTTACATTTACATTCACGCTCGTAATTTACATTTCAGAATTATAATACTATATCTTATTACTCTACTACTAAACATATTTCACATATTTTGTGACAGTACTACATTTATTCTTTTACAGCCAAATTTTTCCATTACCAGTGATTTATATTATTACATAGGTACTGTTGAATATGGTTATTATATGATGAGGCTATCATGAGATGTCACTACTTTTTACGAAGACTAATGGAATCACATCTTTTAATGAAACTAAAAGTACACAAAACAGCAGGGGCTCTCACATATTTGATGTTTTGTTTTTTAAAACGATTTCTTTCTTAATTTCATCGCTGCAAAATCATTGATAGTTTTCGTGAAATCAATTTTTTATTATAATGTTAAATATCAATAATTATTTATAATTTTATTTTTTTAAGTACCTAATATATTATAATTTTTTATTTACATTTATATATTTTTAAAATATTGTTTTATATTAACATAATTTTTTATTTATAATTATGGCACAAACGGCGCCTCATAAAAAAACGTTGAAATGAAAAAAAAAATCTGTTTCCCATAAGAAAACAATCATGCGCATCAAATAGTCATGATAATATTTCAATATTAATTAATTTCATTTACCGTCAAATCCATCGGTTGGTTTGTCAGGTGCGGTGTTCGCATCTTGATTGATACTGAACCATGAAGTCAGTTTTTTTGTATTTTCGACATTTCCACTTTCTTTACGCTTTTTCTCAGCCCTTTTTTGATGACCGCTTGAATATGTACGTTTCATATTGTTTCAATCGATTTCAAACATCAAACGTCCACGAAGAAAACAAGAATCGTGAATATTGTTTTTATGTGAAGTTAGCAGCGCTTTCGAAACCCAGCAGTGTGAGTAATTCATACATGTGCGCACGCGCACATGTGTGGTTTTTTAAATAAAGGAGATTGAAAGTTTAAAACGGATATCCTGCAGGATATCGATTTTTATCGATAGGATAGGATAGGATATCGGAAATTACGATTTTTTAGTAAAAACTTTTTAGTTTTGGGGGCCCCTTTGAGGTCGGGGGCCCTGGTGCACCGCACCGCCTGCACCAGCCTCGCTACGGCCCTGAATAAGTTATAGAACATATTTAAATAACATTATTATATTTAAATTATTTCAGAATCAATGTTATTCCTTAAATATTTAATTATTGCATAAAAGCTTAAAAGTAAAATGAAATGTGCCTAGAAAGAATGGTACATAGCAGGTAGGTAGAATTATTGAGTTTAAAAATATGCCTCCGAACAATTACAATGGAGCATTCAAATGGACATTACTTCTTTCCGTAACTGTACAATGTACATTGTACATATGTTATGTATTTACGTTTTATATTAAATAGTTTAACCTTAACCCAGGTACCTATTTGATATTAAATATTTTAATAAAAGTGTTGGTCCCTATTTTTTTAGTTTTCGAGTTGGCGATAGTATGAAAAAATAAAAATAATACTTTTTTTTAACCTTTATTCAAATTTTAAACAATTACCATTACATAAGGTTGCTAATGATCTAAAATATTTCTTTGAAACGAAAAATTAAGCATTATCATTTACTTATTATATTATCCATCAGCTGTTTTAAAATTATTGAATTTAACGACCTTTAGATAATTTTAACACAAAAATAACCTTATCAAAGTTTACTTACATCTGGCAACATTTTATTATGAAAAATGCCAGCAAATTAAAAAAATGTATTGACCTTGAACGACGTGGAAAAATAACCGGTGTAGATAATTAATTCGAGAAAAAAAAATAAGAAAAACACAAATAAATCTATTTTTAGAATTACTTGAGAGAAAGTGGTAAAATTTTGACATTTTATTGGAACAAATATTAATTTTGTTGTAGACGTGGGTGAACAGCTTAAATAAGGTTTGTTAAACTTTGCTTGAGGCAATAAAATGTGGTATTTTTTATGGAAAATTTGGTTTAAAAAATACATTATGACGTATGCACGAAATTTGAAACGTTCGTTTAAAAAGTTTGTTAAACTGCTGTAAAAATATTTGCCTAGGTATACCTTTTGTAATGTTAAAAATTTGCAAAAACTGTCTTATTACCTAGGTAATAAGACAATTTTTGCAAATTTTTAACATTAACTAGATTAAGCTTGTTATAGAAAAAAAATGAGGTTATGTAAAGTACCTGTCAAACTGTTGACATAGTTGTCAGATTTATTGCTTAAACGAATAGATATATTTTCTCATACTGTGTAATTGCACTTGTTTACATTTTTTATCGCGTTCTAAAAATAGACTGGTAAAAAGTCCATGACGAAAATATCTAGGACTTGGACCGCATTTTCAGGTTATTAAATTTGGGGATCAAGTGCGCCTTATTTTTACCGCATTGGTGAAAAAATATGACGATGACACAAAAACAGCTGATAAAATAAATGTCAATAAAGTGCAGTCATGCACATTGAAAAAACTGCGTATTTATTTTATATCTATTTATAGTAAATTGTTGATGATTGTTTTAAGCCAAATATTTGTTTACATCTATTTACCTATCGGTGCATAAGCACTTGTTATTATGTAATAATATACAGGAAAATAGAAACAAATGAAAATAATAACAAATAAGACTCACCCTCCTGCCACTAGATGTATCACTGTATCCCTTTGACTCATATCATTGAAATTTGAACACAATTTATTTAACAGTCACTGTTTATCGGTTAGGTATTTATACAACGCACGTTCACACTGTGAACTTCACAGAACAAATTCGTTATCTCCTCAATTCGTACACTTCGAGCAGTGTTACTGAAATAAAACATTTATTATTATTTTCTCATTTTCCTTGCAGCAACCCTCGCGACCGAGAGGTAATAAACAAAATTTTAGCGGACGTGACTGAAGTCTCGTACACACTTTCGCATTCGTTTGTTTTGCAGCTAGAGTCGATTTTCCACTGACACCGCTGCTGCCACTTTTACCCCCTCCATGAGCACCGAACACGCTTCAATCACGTGTCAGTTGTTTACCCGGTATTTTTACACGATTTCGCAAATTTTCACGTTTATTTTTTATAGAAACCCCGTTAAACGTGCTGTGAATGTGGCTCAGTGCAAAATATACAAATTTACAAGTTGCTTTGATTTTTTATCACGCCGAAAAATTCGCCTGCGCAAGAATTCTACAACGTTGCCGTAAATACGACAATTTCCCCTCGAACAATTATTTTAAGAATTTTAACATTTTTATACTTTATTTGTCAATAAAATACTGTAAAACTCCGTATTTTTCTAATACGGGAGAGGAAGTCGTTTAAAACACCTTAATTTTTTTTTAATTTACTGAGATTATAGAATGGCAACCTTGGATGCATTTGAAATACTGTGATAATCATCCAAATTACAAAATATTAGGCATTATTTTAATTATATTCTCTATTAATTACATAAATTGTTGCATGTAAATTACAAATTACTCATAATAAACAAAAAATATTAAACATTATTGTATGATTTGGCAACAACGTTGCCGCAATATTACTTGACATTGACAGTTCCGTATTCCTTAAAAAAACATGTAAACAACATGCTGTTACGTTTATTTACCGAAAAACTTACCTAAACCCATAACAGCACTCCAGAGAAAGTTGTGAAGCCCTCAATACCCGAAATTCACCGCCATGCATTTAGTGAGGTTATGTTAACGTAAACATGAAAATATCCAGAATGTCTTTCGACGTGCTAAAACTGCCGGCCCAAAATAAGGCCCTGCACTGCTATTTGCTGATGAGCGTGTGGATTTTGTTGCTGATCGTGGGGGTTTACTATAAATTTCTTGAGCCTAGTCGAAGGCTCCCCGAACCTGCCTCTACGACAGAGTTGTTTCAAAGTTTGACGTTGGATGTTAAAACTAAGAGGATTTTTAAGATATGCAACTTTCCTGATGAGATGGGTGAAGGAGACGAAGGCAGTTTGCGTTCGAATAAGTGGCTGCTGAAGGGGGTTATGATTTTAATTAGGCATGGCGATAGGGGACCTCTACAGCATGTTAAAAAAATATCGTCTATTAATTGTGGCACAGAAGAATCGGACATTCTTAATTCTTACAAGGTGAGCAATTACTTTTTATTCTCTTTAGTATTAAACATAATATTATAGCATACTTGATTTTAAGTTTTTTTCTAGAACCAGTAGTAACAATTTAAATAAGCCAATAACATTCAATAGTTATTTAGTAGAGTTCGTTATTTTTTTATCTGGAATTTGACACATTTAATTATGTTGGTACTGCATATAAACATTCTTTGGTATTTTTAATATTTAAAATTGGTACTCCTGTTTAAGCCCTTGATTTTAAATAGGTACTTTGATATTTGTCATTTAACCATCAGAATAATAATAAATATAAATGTGTTTTTGTATGCTGGGAATGCAAACTTGCTTTTTTGGGCCATAAAGTCAACTAAATTTCATAAAATGTAAAGTAATTGCATTTTTTAACAATTTATATTTGTCATTTTCCACTAAACTAGTTTGTTTATTCAATCTAGCCAATTATAAATTTGGGGTCCCTAGAATTAATTAAACTCCCAAATTTTTAATGTTGTCAAATTCCAAATATAGAAAATAAGGAATAAACTTTACTCTTTATTTTTTTATTATTATTAATATTTGTATTTTTTTATGTTTTTAAAATTAGAAAAACTTGATAATTAAAAAAAAATGTTTTATTATTCTTTAGACATATCTACACAATTTAACAGTTTTTGGTAAATTATCATGGGTTGGTCCTGGTCCTTTTCATGGGTTTCCCATCTTACCAGCCCATACAAGACATTGTAATCTGGGTCAACTTACCATGAAAGGTAAAATATACAAAACAATATCTTTTTTGTCACCCAATATTATATACAGTGTCTCAGATTTTAAACCGAAAAATTTAGTGGTCGATATATAAGCTTGCACGTCATTTCACTTTTTAATCGTAAATGTTTTAAATGTAAAATAAAATTTGAATTATGTCTGATATAATAATAATTAAATAAAATTATATCAAGCATAAATTTAATTCAAATTTAATGGAAACAGATAGGAAAAATAGCGACTTATTATTGTCTAGACATAATAATATTATATAAAATTATGTCTAGGCATAATAATAATAATTTTTTATGATACATTTTAATTTGATAGGTAGGTACTCATTTTTTTGTAACATTTAAATATTTTACCCGACGAATATTTTAAACATTTTGCATATTATTTTGTTAGTTGATTTAATATTTGCGTCATTTAAATTTGGTCCTTTTTTATTTTGTGAGATTAAAAACATTATTGAACAATTTTTTTTAAACAAGATTTTGAAACTATTTTATTTTATTCTATTATTTTTGTTGCGATTTCTTATTTATAACACGAAAATCATACACATAAATACTAAATTTTGTATTATACAGGGTGTCCAAAATGTGATGGGATAGTATTGCTATCTCGGTAACGGTTATAGTTGGAATAGGGCATCAAGAGTTCAAAAGTTGCGTAATTACATGCCTTTTAATATGGAATAGAAGATTGCAAAAAAAAATCTGCGGTTCTCAAAATATTAAAAAAAAATATAAAAATCGGTTAAAACTTATTATCGCTATAACTTTTTTATTTCTAGGAATTTTAAAATACTGAAAGGTTTACATTAAAACATATAAAATTAAATACATTTTGATCCAATTTGTGTATTTTTACGCCAACTAGATTTTGAGATAGGGCTACTATCTTTTGTTTTTTTTATGGCCGCCATATTGGATTTTAGCATCAAAAAATTGAAAAAAAATTAAAGATTTTAACTTTGTATCATATACAGGGTGTTTCTTTTAACTTGAGACAGCTCAATATCTCGAGAAATACGCATTTCACGGAAAAATGTCTTAAATAAAAGGTTAATGTGACCAAAGGGGACATTATTTGGTGCTACCGCTAGCCACCCCCTACCCCTCCTTAAGGGTGAAACGGGGGGCAACTTTGGAAAGTCAAATGGAATGACCCGATTTTTTTCACAGAGTTTGGTAGTACATAAAAAAATGAATAACTTTTATTTGAAAGTTTTTTTCAATTTATCAACAGATGGCGCTGTAATTCAAAATTTAAGAAAAAGGGGTTTCCTTGTAAAATGTATTATTTGAAACGTTTGAAAAACAAAAATTAACATTAAATCAACAATAGTCGGCTCTGAAAACAATTTATATCAAATGTTCAAAATGTCGTCCTTCCATTTCGACACCAAGTGGAGCACCAGCGTCCCTGGTCTGTAAACGTTTGGTGCGGTACCTTAAGCGAACGATTAATCGGACCCTTCTTTATTGACGGTGCATTAAATGGCGAAAAGTACCGGAATTTTCTAGAAAACGATCTGACGGACCTTTTGGAGGATGTACCACTAGCACGGCTCCAAAACATGTGGTACCAGCAAGATGGTTGTCCTGCACATTATTCGACAATTGCTCGAGAGGTGTTGGATCGGGAGTACAATGGCCGGTGCACCGCGGTGGATCGGTAGACGTGGTCCAGTAATTTGGCCTGCTCGATCACCTGATCTTACGCCACCAGACTTCTTCCAGTGGGGTTACTTGAAAGAAAAAGTTTACGCTGCAATTCCTACAACTTGGGAGGACATGGTGGAGCGGATCAGGAACGCCTGTGCGGCGATACCGCCCGATATGTTGGCGCGTTGTGTGCCAGAATTCATTACCCGCATTCAAAAATGTGTTGAAATGGAATGACGACATTTCGAACATTTGTTATAAATTGTTTTCATAGCCGACTATTGTTGTTAATGTTAATTTTTGTTTTTCAAACGTTTCAAATAATACATTTTAAAAGGAAACTCATTTTTCTTAAATTTTGAATTACAGCGCCATCTGTTGATAAATTGAAAAAAGTTTTAAATAAAAGTTATTTATTTTTTTATGTACTACCAAACTCTGTGAAAAAAATCGGGTCATTCCATTTGACTTTCCAAAGTTACCCCCCGTTTCACCCTTAAGGAGGGGTAGGGGGTGGCTAGCGGTAGCACCAAATAATGTCCCCTTTAGTCACATTAACCTTTTATTTAAGACATTTTTCCGTGAAATGCGTATTTCTCGAGATATTGAGCTGTCTCAAGTTAAAAGGAACACCCTGTATGGTACTTTAGCCAAAAATAAACCCATTAAAATCAACTTTTTATTTTTAACACACTAACTGTCAAGTTGTCATAAAAAAAACAATAAAACAATACTATAACTATAAAAATATCAAAATCAACAGAGTAGTAAATAATAAAAGACAAAACAACAAATTTACTAAAAAAAGTGTTCAAAATGATCACCATTGTTTAATACACATCTTTGTGCTCTCATGGTCAAATTTTTTTGAATATTTTTCAAAACGTTCGGAGTAATTTTATCACACGCCTCCCTAATTTTAAGTTTTAAATCATTTACATCACGGGGCGTCGTCTTATAAACATTATCTTTAATAATTCCCCAAATGGAAAAATCCATAGGAGTTAGGTCTGGAGACCTGGCCGGCCAATTTATGGGTCCATTATTACCAATCCAACAATTTGGTTTAAACGTAGTTAAAAATTCTGTAACACGCCTATCACGATGTGCTGGTGCACCATCCTGTTGGAAGTAAAGGGTTTTTCATTTAGAGCGTCAGAACTTTTAAATGAGATAAAAAAATAACTACATGTTATAATCCCGTAATCTATATTTTATTTTGAAGAACGATCGATGACATTATGTTTTAAATATAATATCGTTTAAATGTCCCCCTCGACTTTGCCTGACTGAATGCATTATGAAGGCCTAATTTCTACTATTCTTTTACAAATATCGCGTGGTATACTTTGAATAGTGCGTTTAATGTTTCGTTTAAGGTCGAGAATTGTTAGTGGCTTATTTTTGTAAACCAGAGATTTCACATGATCCTTTAGATGCACAAAAGTTGACTTATTTGCCAGTAAACCAGTTTTTTCTTAAACGATAAACCTTATATTTCTCGCAACTTGCAAAATGTTTGGCAAACCGAACATGCATTTTGATGGTAAATACGAATTATTTCTAAGCGCTGTTAAATTGTTATCTGTCCATATTAATTTGACACAATGTACTGAACACATGTGTTGTCAAGATTTGACATTTACATTCCAGAGCAGCCTTATTTTTAGGGTTAAAGTTATGACACTTTAAATGGAAAACCCTTTATTTAAAATTGTTTAAGACACTTAGGGGAAGGTCATCCAAGAGGTCTCGTAGGGTATTTCTTAGCATATCCAAATACATTTCCCCTGTTAAATGCTCCTCAAAAAAGATAGGCCCCACTACACTGGAATCCAATACTCCGAGCCAAACATTTATACCGAACCTCTCCTGAAATGCAGTTTCTCGGTGCAAATGTTCATTTTCTTGGGTCCAGCGATAGTGGATGTTTCTGCTAAACCATCCGTTATTACAGAATCTGCTTTCGTCGCTCCACAAAATTTTTTTAGAATGTTTGCATCTTGTCGCTTTTTTCTTAATTACCACCGACAAAAAATGTTTCTTTTATTATAATCCACTGGCCTAAAATGTTGTTCTTTCCTGTAGCGATAAGGTCTGTACTTGTGTCTTTTTAAAATTTTTCTTGCCGACATTTTTTTGACACCTGTTTCTTTTTCGATTTCCCTAAGAGAAACCCAATTTTGATTCACATTTTTAAAATGCACGTAGCCTTAAATAAATTCCACAACGTAAATTTTAAAATTTATTTATTTTATTTATAAAATATTACCCAAGACATTAGTTTCCTCTTCACCTCCTTCTTCTGTTACAGTTGTTTTCCTTTGTTTTGGCTTTTCAAACATTCCAAGTTCGCGCAATTTTTTTTCCAAGCATGCAAATATTTTTGTGTCAGGTACCTGTTTTTCGGGATACAAGTTAGCGTATGTTTCAGCAGCATTTTTTGCTAAAGTAGTATGATACATGGTAAAAATCTTTGATATTTTTTCAATTTTTTCATGCAAAAATCCAATATGGCCGCCATAGGAAAAACAAAAGATAGTGGCCATATCTCAGAATCTAGTAGGCGTAAAAATACACAAAATGGATCAAAACGTATGTAATTGTGTATGTTTTCATGTAAACATTTCAGTTTTTCAAAATCCCTATAAATAAAAAAAATATAGCGATAATAAATTTTAACCAATTTTCAGTTTTTTTCAAATATTTTGAGAACCGCTGATTTTGTGTGATGCCATAATAAAAGGCATGTAATTACGCAACTTTTGAACCATGCCATTTCATCTATAACCGTTTCCGAGATAGCAATGCTATCCCATCAGATTTTGGACACCCTGTATAGTCCTAATTTTAATTGAAAAATAAAAATTAAGTGCAATAATTTTATGCGTAAACATAAAATTAATTATGGCACGTCGCGTCGTTTTACTTTTTAATTGTAAAAGAAAAAGAAATATTAAGTTAAATATTAATGTGTCACAAAAATGTTGCACTCGAAGCGGTCGGACGCGTCAAGATAAATCCCTCCTAAGTAGCGTATACGATACAAGCGTGGTAAGGTACCAAAAACGAAACAAAGTATCCGGAAATATCGGTAATCGTTAATAAATGGATAAATAAATAAACAAACAAGTGCGAGAAGTGCGAAGGAACAACGGACAGCCCGAGAAAGACAAAGCATCAGGATTATAGCCTAATAATCAAGCTAAGTAATTTTTCTAATTGCATGTCTTACCGTATAATCGTTAAATGTTTATATAAGCATTTCACAATGTTGACAAAAAATCTAAGAATTGTTTTTATTAGTCTCAAAAACTAAATTTTAAAAAATAATAAGAACATTTCTGTAAGTGTTAAATAAACAACCTCATTTTCTCATAGTAGACAAATCATAAACAACCATTGAAAAAGGCGTAAGAGTAAATAAACCAAATCAAGCAAAAAGACAAAAATTTATATCATAAATAAGTGTTGTGCATTTAGGGTTACAGCCATAAATCAAAGCCAAATAAATACACAGAAGATAAGAAGAACGACCCACTCAATAGCCAATGCAGGCCATATGGCCGCATTTCATTACATATACTACAGGGCCGGCTTTATCTATTTTGTATATTGATTGATTGGTATTGATATTATTGGTGTTGGTATTGATGTTAATATTGTTGGTATTAATGTTAATATTGCTATTGGTATTATAGATGTTGATATTGATTTTAATATTGATTGATTAATTGGTTGATATTGATATTAACGTTTATATTGATTAATTGGATTGGTTGATATTGGTATTGATTATTTGTATTAATTAGTATTAGTATTGGTATTGACTAATTGATATTTATATTAAATTTATATAGATACTAATTTAACAATAAAATAAATAAGGAATATACAAGGTGGGTAGCCTATACTTGGCAGGAGGAATATCCACCAAGGGAGAGGGCACCCACGGTGTGTCAGGGCCGTCAACACTTCGCTACGGAAGACAAGACTCAGTATCACACAGGGGGGCAAACAATTCTAAAGAGGTTACCAGGAACCTGATACTGACTCGGACATGTTCAGAAATACACCAACAAGGACAGGTTCTAGCAGCGTACTAACACTTCTACCCCCATTCATGAATCTCAAATGAATGGGGTTATTACTAAGGCCCAGGTTCAGAAGGATTCCGGATTGTACTTAGTTTTGGGTCAGTTCAATGTCCTCCAAAAACCCTTCCTAAACTGGACGTATGGCCCGACCCGGCTGACAAAAATCCGTGGAGCGGCCTTAACCATAGACACTGTCTTCCACGACCTCTTAGGGCGGATCTACCAGCCGGCGTAAAAACTTCGGATCCAACAAACACAGGTAAAGCTGTGATTTGGCGGGATACGCAGGAGAACGGAAAGGGGGTAAACTAACCCGAGGAGATTAGTGGAGTACAATGTCTTTGGGGCCTGCCATACGTTCCCATACTCATACTCATACTCACAAAAATATTGCACACAGAAAAATTACATTAAATGAATAATTCAACATATTATATTTAAAAAAAGAATAACTTCTTTGACATGTATAATTCTGTATTATTTTGAAGGTATTATTTTCCAGTGCAATTTATTTTAGTATACCTTATGTGTTTTAATTTACGATAACCAAATACAACCTCTATGAATTATTTCGGATATTTATTTTTATCTCCGTAGGCACCTACCATTTCTCTACTAAAAGTTCTATTAAGTCTTAAAAAGTCTTATTAACTCTTCCAGAAGACTCCCAAATCTTGCTATTAGTCTGACTTAATAAGACTTATTCAGACTTTTTCCGACTTAATAAGTCTTATTCTGACTTTTTCCGACTTAATAAGTATTATTCAGACTTTTTCAGAGAAAGTAAGACTTTCTCAGAGAAAAATTTCCACAAGGGTAAACGTTGAGTGAATCAATGGATAAAGTTAAATATTAACTTAATATTTCTCATCCGATTAAAAAGTGAAACGGCGTTCGTTTTCTAGATACAGGGTAATAAAGTTATTAAACAAGTATTTATTTTTTCAAAAACTTTTAAGGTTTTTAGAAATGAAAAGAAGTTTCTTGAAAATTAAGCAAGAGACAAAAGATATATTTAATTGCTTATTAATTTTTTATTAACTTTAACATACAGCATACAAGTTCATTTAAACTTTTCTTCTATTGACTATTAATTTTTTTTCCCAAATTAAAATCCGAGACACCCTATTATTAAATGTGGTTTAAAAATATGAAGGACAAAAACTCCAAAGAAACAATTTTCAGGTGTGAGTCAACTCCTGAAACTGGGGAGTCTGCTGAAAAGAAATTATAAGTACGTGTGGCCGAAATTGGAAAAATTAAATGACACCGAAATTTTGGTGTACAGTACGAGGTATAGGAGAACTTTTCAGTCGGCCCTGGCGTTTTTGTACGGGTTTATACCGAAAGATTCCCTATCGAAACTCGGCATTTACGAAAGTCAGTCTATGAGTTTTTGCTTTAAAGACTGCGGTTGTCCCGTCACCGACAAACTTGCCAAGTGAGTGAGTTTAATTGAATATTATCAGGATTTTCACACGTTTTTTAGATTCGTGAGGGACAGCATATCGTATCAGCTAAAAGCGCATCCGGCCGTGGCCCTGTTAACGCAACAAACGGGGAAAGCCCTGTTCAGCAGCGGCGCCGAACAGGGAAGTCTGGCGGGGGATCCCCACGCGGTCAGAGACGCGCTTCTGACCTACGTGTGCCACGGCAGCGGTCTACCCTGTGAAAATTCCAACAACTGTGTCAGGTAAAGTAATTTTATTTCCACCTTCTTGGTAAATGACATTTTATAGGTTAATTTTGTTGTTTTTGTATCCAAGTAAACGATACATTATGGGAACAGACCTGTAATATTTTACGGGCTTGTATAAAAGACCTGTAAAGTTTTACAGGCTTGTAAAAAGCAATTTATGAAATGAAATGTCACATTTGACATTTTAATTAAAATTCGTTATCTAAAGGTGAAAATAAAAGTTTGTACGTGTCACGCTTTGCAATTAATCTTTACTAGGCTCACTGGATTATGTGGTTCGCTCCTGCGTCGCTCACCCCACAAACTTCCAGCTCGCCCGTAAAGATTCATTTACAAAGCTTGACACGTAAATAACTATTAATAGGTCCACGCCACAGTCTGTGGTCCACGCATAGTCAGGGTTGCCAGATGGCAATTTCGAAATGACACTATTTTTTAAACTTTTTCCAAAATAAAATTTATTCAAACAATAACTCCTATAAAAAACAATACATGTTATTTTACAGTCGATAAAATTTGTAGGTTCTCCTTTCACACACATAAGCCACCCTAAATAGAGAAAGAAAAACAACACTTAAACTTTAATCATTTATAATTTTATAATGAGAAGATTTCATTTGTTTAAACGATTCAAGAAAACAAATTCAAATTGATATAAGAAATTACAAACTTAAACTACACGTTAAATAATAAAGAAAAACAACTTACCAAAAAATGGTGCTTCTGTTTCCCAAGCAGCCCGATAATGCCTTGCATTTTTAGACATGATTTTTACACAAATGTTTATGTTAAAAAACCCATGGTTTCTCTATGCACAGTTATGTCACAAATTTTAATTTAATATTTCTTCTGCTTTAACAGAATAACAGCATATTGTAATTAAACAAAAAAGATTATTTGGAATATTCTTTCCAAGTTTTCTCCACAATAATTTTTTACCCAAAGATTTCCCCTTGCCATCGTTTTCCTCAAAACTTCCTTACAACTTTTTGTTTTCTCAAAATTGCGAAAAAAACCCAATCTGGCAACTGGGAAAACAAGGTATGTTCTTGCGCATCTGTTTCCACCACTCCATATTTTAAAGTTTTCTAAGTATAAAAAATGTCCACCTGCCAAGTAAAAATTTGTAAAAACAATTCCAAAAGAAAAAACCTGGAAATACTATATGGGCTTGAAAAAATTTATGTTAAGGATAGTAAGTAGATTTGTTTTAAAAACAATTTATCTGTGACAGATTTATAAATAAAAAAATAATTTAGGTTAATATTTTTGTTTGTATTGTAGCTTGTATTTGTTCCATTTAGTTCAAAGATAGTTGCTATAAGAAGGAACATTAAATCGAAAAAACATTCAAACTACATTCCCATAAAAAAAACTCTTAAATTTTAAAAAGTGGATACGGTTCCAACTTTACACTTAACAGCTGATCTATTAAAAGAGAAATCAAGTACTTTGTAAAAAATGAAAATAAAATTGAAAAAAAAACAATACAAATCATAAAAAATAGGACAAAACCAGGAAGCATTATATGATCTTTGAAGACAGCCCATAACAGAAACTCAAGTACTGAAAAACAAAATTAAATCTTTGCATTGTGCAGAAAATATGCCAAGACAAGGAAGCTAATGATCTTCAAGGACAGTCCATAGCAGAAACTCAAACTGTAGCATGGTGCTGATAATGAAATGGCCCATGATTGAAATATCCAGCATTAGAAAACCAGCTTATACCATACCATAATATAATATTTTGTACAAGTTTGTTTTATTTAATGTTACCTTTATGGTGGCCAATTTAGGGTTTTTATTTGGCAATTATTTGTTACTACTATTTTATAATAAATAAATTTAGAAATAATTTATTGCTTACATTTTTCTTGCAATGGTAATGTTGTAACTTGACACTTTTTTATGTATTTTATTTGGTATTTGGGAAATATTACAGTCATCTTAGTCAAAAAAAGCGATCAACCTCGGAATCTAACGGAATAAGCTGAATTTTTTTTCAAACCATTATTTTAGCATTACAAATGTTGTCTCAAAAGTCACATATGCCAACGTGTGAGCGGCCTTAGATATTCAAGGTCAAAGGTCGCAAACATCAGTTTTTTGAGAATATCTCGTTTTCTTTGCCTCCTATCATATTTGCATTTATTATAAAAGTTGTAGAGAATTAAATTCTCTACAAATTTTGTTTACAAAATTTTTTTATACGCCGAACCGTTTTTGAGATAGAGGGCGCAGAGTGTGGAGCGCTCAGCCATACGTACCTTTAGCGCAAGGTAAATCGTGAATCCCAATCTATTATACAGTTTTTTTAATTCGTTATATATTAAATATTACTAAAATAAAAATTTAATACCTTATACTTATATTTATATTTCTTTTAAATCAAATATATTTTATCATTATATATATCTTATATTTTAATTTAATTTTAATGAAGGATAATTGGATCAGAGTAGGAAAAAATGTTTTTATTTATATCAATATTATTATTATTATTATTAATCTTTATCTTCTTCATCCTCGTCTTCTTCAGGTTGGCCAGCAGATTCAGACTCATTCTTATCATCACTCTCCTCGTTATCATTGACATTAATTGTCATATCTTCAAAAACTTACTTATAACGCGTTTGTACTTTGCAGATTTTTTTGCCTTTGTTGCCTTATCTGCGACTTCACCACAAAATAAGTACAATATTTTAAAATCAAACACATCATTTCCTTTTTTACGAGGTACAGTTGATGACGTTGAAGGTCCAGTCTCTTCAAGGCGACGTTTTGCTGCTGCAATTTTACTATAGTACGCTATAGCGTACAATTTTCGACACTCAATATGAACGTTCACAGAAGTCAAAGTATTTAGGTAGTTTATGTTTATTTTTCTCAATAATTGCTTCTTTTAAAGTTTTTATACCGCGCACAAAAGTCACAGAATCACCTTCAGAAATTAACTTATTACAAATAAAACACAAATAAGCCATGTTAACCTTTAAAATATTACGAATTTTACCTGTCACAACCCTAGACCTATACCTAGGGTCACAACTTGCTTTAAATATAGGTATACCTAACCTTTTTATTTATAGCAAGCTCACTATAGTATTTCCAGGTCTGTTATTTTAAAAGCAATATCTAGATCCAAGAGATGGCAAATTCATTTAATGTCTTTTCTTCTTAAAGTGAATTTATCATTAATTAGAATAACATTAGAATATATTTAGAATGATTCACTTCATTATTTAATTATTTGTATGTAAAAAGTAAGTAATATTTAATGACTATTTGTTTAAAAAAATATATAAACATAAATATACGGTATTAAATTGTTATTTAAGTAATATTTAATAAATAATTATTTAAAAAAACGGTATAATAGATTGGGATTCATGATTTACCGTGCGTATGTATGTATGGCTTTATGGCTGAGCGCTCCACACTCTGCGCCCTCTATCTTAAAAAATATTGGACGTATAAAAAAATGTTTTAAACAAAATTTTTAGAGAATTTTATTCTCTACAACTTGTATAATACCTAAATGTAAATACGATAGGAGGCAGAGAAAAGGAGATATTCTCAAAAAATTGATTTTTGCGACCTTTGACCTTGAATATCTAAGGCCGCTCACACGTTGGCATATGTGACTTTTGAGACAACATTTGAAATGCTAAAATAAAGGTTTGTACAAAAATTCAGCTTATTCCGTTAGATTCCGAGGTGAAATGCCTAGATGACTGGACTAAAATATTATTTACTTAAAAACAATAAATTTTATTTAATTAAAAAACCGTATAAAATAATTTTTTTTAATTCATAATATTGAAATGTTAATATTGTGACTGATCGTTTTTTACGAGTTGTAAATGCAAATTTTGATGAATTTCATAATATGAACCAAGATGGTGGTAACTGGGTGGTGCGCAAAGTAAACCAGAATTCGTTTTACTGGAGAACATACCCTGTTTTCTTGTACCATGCATGGGTCCACGCTTTGAATAAAGGGGCCACGCCTGTCACAGTGAGCAGCGGATTTATTGCGCCATCTCTCGGATTTATGTTTTTGGCGCGTTCCTTAAAACATTTTTCTTTATTTAGGCGTCAAAATGTGGCGGGTGTGTTCGCCTACACCGACTGGGTGAACCACCAGAAGTGGCGCAACACTTTCTGGAAGCGCATGTGTCTGCTGAAGTCTTACGGTTTGATGCGCCACTTGGTGCAGCAAATGCTGCACGTAGTCTCGGATAACGGGCCGTATTTCACGCTCTACTCCGGGCATGATCATACCGTGGAGCAATTGACCACCGCGCTGGGTATAAGCAATGACCCACTGTTATTAAGGTGAGCAATTACAATGTTTTTTTTACAGAAATAGCGCACCAAATATGTAGACAAAATTATAGGTAGAGCCCACAAAACAAAATATTTTTGGTGCCTAGGATTTTGAAAGTGATTTTACCTGGTCCAAACAAAATATTATTTAATTTAAGATTAATAATCAATAAAGTACCTTGAATTTTTCGTTTAGACAAGTTGTGGTAATTAAATTACTAGAAGGTTTCTTACTACCTTAAAGACAGTGTGTTAATTAACAAATGGAAAAAATAAGGCATTGAATGTTACTAAGCGTAAAATGAATTCAAGTAGGAGTTGTGTAAATCATCCTGATGGGTTTTGCCACATATGTGTGAGAATATGTGCAGGGGCGTGCTGGCTATATCAGACCGGCCCGGGAAATTCAGAAAAATCGGCCAACTACACACGAAAAATGGGGGGTGAACAAAACCAAGTTAAAAAATTTCAAACATTTATTAAAAACCTGTCAAAATATTTTAAAATATATCTTTGGTAAAACGATTTAAGTGCACCTTTTACTGCTAAACATAGGCTATTATCTATGCTGCTAAACCCTTGACAAGTAGCTCGTTTCGACATAGTGTGACCGGGGTCGGAACGACATCGGCCAGCGTTACGATTATGGCATCGGTCCAGACTGATGAGGATTCAACATAGTAACTATGTTCCTGACATCAATGAAGAATTAGAAGAAGAAGACCATGTAACTCCAGCAAAAACTAAAAAAAAGCCGCTTAGGTACCTTATTGGACTATATTCCGCCAATTTACCACTTATTTTATAAAAACATAGAGTACGATCGAGATCCATCAGAAAAAAAGAAACAAACTAAGACCATAGCCCTATTGAGCCAAAAAAAATCCAATTTAGGTCAACCCCAACCAAGACCAGCTAATTCAGATGAAGAAAACGTTGTATTATATTTTGATTATGAATAATACTTTTTGTTGTAAAACTTCCCAGCAACACACTATTCCGGCCATGCAACGGCGCATTACTGGGCCATTATTGTGCCCTTGCATGGCCGGACTAGTGTGTTTTTTGGGTAATTACCCAAATTTTAAAAAATAAAGTTTTGTTCTAGTACAGTAATTGCATTTAAATCATTTTACCACTAAATTTTGTCTTACATGCATGACGATTCAAGTACATTTTTGTAAAAAAAATTAACAAAAAAGCGAAATTGAAAAATTCATTTTTCTATGGCACGCCGTTTTACTTTTTAATGACATCAAAAAATTAACTCAAAACAAAAATTATCAAAATTAAAAATTGCCTAGAAAATATAAACGTTCATAAAAATTACTAAATTAAATTTAATTACAAATTTGGCTAATACTTCTCATAAATACTCGTAGAAAAAATAAGTAAACTTAAGGAAGTAACAAGAATATATTTAGACATGTTTCTGATGTGTCCTGTCCATGGGCTTGGAATGGCCGTTAACACTCGTAAACAGAATTTTAATTTGGCGCTGCATAGTGCGGTTGTGTTACGTACTACTGCCACGAAGCGAAAATTAGGCAACAGTGCAGTCCAAAATTTTCAGTGCTATCAATAATGTAATACATTAAATCATTTAATTTAAATGTATATCGACATGATAATGATTATTAAATTATGTAAGGGGTGCATTTCAACAAGACTGCCCTGCTGGCTAACCTCACTTTATACGAAATAATTTAGATATGGACTCTCCTAATAGACAATTTAATTGTGGTTCATTATTTGCTTAGTTGTCTATGCAATAGGATTTCTCGCAGAAGAAGATATTTATATAATTACCAGAATTGTCCTACTCGTTACGTGTCCGAGCCGACTACCTGTACAGTATAAATAATCCACAAACTTAATGAATGTAATTAATGGTAGATTGAAAATATTCCATTGTTGTTTATCTTTTAGTCAATAAAAACCAATATTTTAGTAAAACAGATTTTCTTTATTTTTATTTCAAAAAATTAATAAATTAGATAAAAAATTAAGGAAAGCAAAACAGGTAAGTAAATAAAATGACAGCACTGAATTTGAATGCACCGTTGCCTAATTTATTTACCTTCGCTTGGTGGCAGTAGTACGTAACACCACCGCAATATGCACTAGCGCCAAATTAAAATTCTGTTTACGGGTGATAACCAACATTTTAATTCATCGAATTTTTCAGTCAGGAAATTCGAGGTACATAATATTTATTCCAAAAAATAAAAACAAGGAATTCTGTCACATACAAATAGCATTGAATTTATTATCTAAAAAATAATCGGATTAAAAGAAAGATTCTTAAATGAAAATTCGTATTGCTAGATTTAAATAACATAATAATTAATATCAACTATACCACAACTTTATTCCCGTATAAAAATTGTTTCAAAGAGTTTTAAACAACAAAATAATTCGTATTAAAAGTAAATATTAAAATTTTTAAAAATAACAATAAGAATAAAATTGTATTCAATTCTTATTAGTCAAATAAAATTTTAAGTAATATTATAAACATTTAAATATTAAAACAAATATTTCGTGCAAAATATTTGTGTGTCGAATAAGAAACTTTATCACTTTAATTTCTAACAGGTAAATTGATTTTTATGTCGACGAGTAATAATAGAAATTAATTGCGACAAAATGATAATTTCAGTATTACTTTTTCTTAAATAAATGTTGCGCACCTTGAATTAATTGGCTAAGAAATTCGATGAATTAAAATTTTGGTTTACAAAATTTCAATTTGACTGCCTGTTTCTCCAAGTAGCGCCTTATTAAAATTATCTCAACCAAAATTTTAATTCATCGAATTTTTTAGTCAGAAAATACGCCATTCAGTTCTAGAATTAAAATTACTTTAATTCTTATTCTGTGCTTAAAATTGTGTACTCAATATACCAAGACATCATAAAAATTTTACTTTAAAATGTTCAGTCAATTTTTAAAAAAGCAACTTGAATTAATATTTAGCTTTAATAAACATGACATTAAAAAGTAAAACGGCGTGCCATATTTTTCTTTATAATCCTTTTTAGTCTTTAAACAAAACTAAAATATTCACGCAGTTTTTTAAACTCTTTTCTAGAATTTTAAAATTCAAGTTAACTTTAAAGCCATTTATCTCAGAACTAACAAAAATGCACTTAAACCCTTTTACTTCTTGGCCCCTCAATTAATAACATAAAGTATAAATTAAATTCTTGAAAAAAAAACAGGCAACAAACACAACCAGACAATATTTTACACAATGCTAAAACATAATTATGATATTTATACATAACTCAACTAAAAAAGTTTTTAATTGACCACGTGAAATTTTTAACACCATATTTCTGTGTTATTAATCTCAATCCTGTACAAATTTACAAACTTAATTGGCTGAGCGGCGGCGATTTTATAAGGGTTTATATGATTAAAAATTGTTAAAACCCAATTACTTAAAATTTTATAATTTTCTACATAAATAATGCGAACTCTCTTCAAATTTTAATTGAATTGGCTCAGTGGCGGCCATTTGATAAGGGTTTAAATGATTCAAAAATTAAAAAAGATTATTATTATTTTTAAAACTATTAAAAATAAATTTGTGACATTTTAACACAAGTTTTATTTAACGCATAATAAGTAAAAAAAATTTAACTCTAAAACGCCTTTACCAATCCTAATAAAATTTTGGATAAAAATACTTTAACTTATATCTCAGTTTTCGTGTTCAAGGGTTTTTCGAGAAATTATCCTTAAAGCCCTTTTATTTAATAATAAAAAACGCTAAAAAAAACTTTTATATGGAATTTTTTTAAGTAAATAAAAAATATGCTGTGAAATACCGTATTTTTGTAAGTAGGTATACCCTGAAAATGTTGTACAAATCAAACGATCAGTAACGAAAATACAGCGCTTTAAAGTCGTCAAAAATGACCACTTTTCAGCAAAATAATCAAAAAGGGGTCATTTTTACCGACTTTGAAGCACTGTATTATCTTTGACTGTATCTTCGTTACTGTTCGTTTGATTTGTACAAAATTTTCAGGGTATACTAACAAAAATACAGTCTTTAACAGCATACTTTTTCAAACGTTTTTTGTATTATTAAATAAAAGGGATTTAAAAATATTTTCTCGAAAAACCTTCGAACACGTAAACTGAGTTATAGGTTGAAGTATTTTTATACAAAATTTCATAGATTAGTAAAGGCGTTTTAGAGTTAGCATTTTTTTACTTATTATGCGTTAAATTTGACGCGCAGTGTATAAATATTCTTTATTCTTTCCAAATTTGAATTTAATTAGATCAGTGGCGGCGATTGTATAAGGTTTTAAATATCAAAATTTTGTAATTGATAAGATTTAATGACTTGAAATCTTATTTATTTATAATCAAAAATATTTAACCTGTTTATTGTTAACAATAAATTAATTTTTTAAATAAAATAATTATAATACATATAATTGCATTATCCGTTTCACTATATATCTTTGGCTTGGAACAGAAATAATACACATTTATTGTTTATAAAAATATACTCCCAAGAATATTTTGTATGGATCGGAGGTTGTTGGAAGTTCTTGATATTTTTCGAGTATGATGTTCTCTAGAATATTTAAAGTCCTTGTTCCTAGCCTCCTGAGCCTCCTCTGATAATTGTCCGATTGGCAAATAAAAATGGCTTATTATATCTCCTCCATAAATTAAAATTTTATGCGCTGAAGATGGCATATAGTATCAACATAGAGACACATAGAGCTCGGCTGTTTCTTGTGCGTATTTCTTAAATTTTTCAACATATATTTCTCTTCCAAATGCCAAAGCTTGCAAAATGTCCCGGAACCTCTTAATAAGATTCACATCTACTTTTGTTTTATTTGATGTTGTCTCTGGATCCTTAAAAAATCTACGAGCTGTATTACCGTCATTGGTAGTCCCTGCTCCTTGTTTGGGCACATCTATTCTTATTCCCTTTTTTTCCCAAAATTCTGCCTGAATTCTTAATTTTTCTGATTTTCTTAGGGCCTTATTTTCATCAGTTCTAACTGTTTTAAATGGAAGGTTATAAGCAATATGTAATATACATTCCATAAACCTAATCCACGCGTGAAGACTTGAAAGGCCATATTCTAAAGCTTGTGGATCTATATTTTTATCTCTAACCCTATCCAACCTATTCATTTCGGTTGGATTTGATCCACAATGAACACGTGTACAAGAAGCTGCTGAAGGTGTTCCTGTCAACAATTGAACTACTTTGCCATCCTCCATTGTAGTAAATAAAGTGTGCTTTACTTTATATTCAGCATTTTCAGTTTTCAAAATTGTAGGCTTTAATGAAGCGATTTGAAGTTTTATATAGTTTACGGAACATTTCGTTTTCTCTGGTGTCTCTTCAGCATATTCAAATAATATGGGTCGGCAATATCTTGTTGAACAAGGGTACGTGCATTTTCTCAAAGTATATTACCTTTTACCGTACAAGGGAAAAGGGTCTCCTACCTCTCTTCTCTCAAGAAGACAATCTTGTATTTTGTCTTGATATTAAAGGACTCCTGGAAAGTGTCTTCCTGAATATATTCAAGATGATGGCGCCTATTTATTGACAGCTAAAGGCGAAGTTTGAAAAGTGTCATTCTATACAACGGGAACAAATATGGTTCAATACCAATCGCTCACTTAACGAAAATGAAAGAAGAATATATGTAATACCATAGCTTTGCTCTTGGAGAAGATAAAGTATCGATGACGGTTTCGTCTATCTGAGATTTTTAGAAATTTGAGCTGATAGGCCAAAACTAATCATATTTGAATTCAGGGCACCAAACTAGCTGTGTTATTTGTAAAATAAAGATTGCCGTTCCGTTGTTTTACATAACTTTTCTTAAAAAGCACGAACATTTTTATACATTTCTTCGGGCCTGTAGGTTTTCAAAAAAATACATATCGTCTTCGAACCTAGGTACGCGGCGAGAGTGGCATTCGAGGTGTACCAGGACAACAGGGAGCCTATGAGCGGAGCCAAGGCGATTTATTTTCGCGTGCTCGCCAACGGTAAAGACGTAACCCGCCAGGTGGCGTTCTGCAAAAACATCGCCACCATCGGTAAAGTGAACCTCTGCAAGATCGAGGACATCGTCAGATTCCTGCACGACGATTACTTTACCGGCGTCAATGCTACCAACTACAAGGACGCTTGCGCCTACAAGTACGATTAATAAATAGCCAATTATCATCAAATAATCCTATTTTATTACAAACAAGTTGGCGATACAAAATTCTACACGGTGTTTAACGAAAACCACACCCTCTGTAGACTCCTCCCAATTATTATTATTAAGACTGTTTAATTTTTAGCACGAGAGCAACGATTTATCTACATCTGTTAATTTTCTAACGCACGATATTTTAACTATTTAAATTCTGTGTATTGATGTTTAAAATCTCAAACCATATCCAATTTAAAGTCTGATTTATTTAAAAAAAACTAAACACGATATAAGTAACAAAAAATGCAATCATCTTAATTCGAATGGAATTAAATTATACTTGATTACTTATGTTAGGTTTGTAGTACTTTTTCTTGAACTTATACTGACGTGTTTTGTATCTGACGACTGATTTAATTAATTTAGTGTACAATATGTTCTAGTCCTTGGGTATTTATTTATGTTGTATATAATTGTATAATTATGTAAATAAAAAATATAATTACAAAGTATTTTAACTCACCCTCTCACCTCACGATAAAAATTGCAGGTTGATAACCTTCTTTGTCTCTGGTTGATAAAACTTCGTCTTTGGGGTTAGGAGATAAAGCTCCAAGGTAGGTAAATAAAAGTCGTTGTTTTTTGAATATTATTATTTATTTCATTTATGCCAAATTATGCGCCTAGATATATATAATGCGAGATCGACTGCAAGGCAGCCAACCCTACAGATTTAAAATCTTTCATACCCTCAATTGGTACTCAGTACTTACATAAGATCAGTTTTTTCCTATTTACCCACAGATTTTTAGTCATTATCGAAGACTCGACGAAATCAAATAAATTACACAAATTTTCAGTATGAAAATATATTTTCCATACGCGTCATTACAATTTTTTATTTAGTTCAAAATTTTTTTACACAAGAACGAATCTTTATAATACATATCTGATATGCATGTACAATTATTAGGTGTCCTCTTACAAACTACTTTATATTTACACTTTGAAAAATCGTTTTTTTCAATCTGTGAGCAAAACAAAAAAACTAATCAAAAAAACAAGTAGTATTTACAATTTTTTGCATTAGTGGCAGTGTTCTATCGAAAACACTCTTCATTACCGACCTCTCTTGTAATTTTTTTGGTATTTAGACAAAAAAGGCAAAAATACAGCTGGAAGGGGAAAAGAACACCAACAAAAATCAATTTTTAAAAGTATTTCAAAAATTTTGGTTGTTGTTCCTTTCCATAAAGATTTTCCTATTAATTATATTACTTAAAGACGTTTTTCTCTCACCAATACACTCAAATTTGTTCAAATTGAATAGTATACCAATTTAATACCATTTAGGACGGATAGGTACTAACAAAATCAAATTTAACCAAACCACACACACACACAATTATGTATTAAATTTGTTCTTTCAAACCAAAAAGCCGTATTTTTGCCATAAATCGAAAATTCTGTAACAATACCACCATGACGCGCGAATTTAAAAAAATAACCAAAAATTCGTATAATGGTAAGCATTAATCCCGTTGTTAGGCATCAGTGATTGGCCGATTTTAATATTCACTGTGATTTGAACCAATCGAGATTTAAATTGCGAGAAAGCTTAGAATCGGCTAATTACGCGGTATTCATAAATTTTGTTATAAATAAAAATAACTGAAATATTGGAGTAGAAAACTCGTGTATTACAGGCGAAATAAATTGTTTCACAAGCCTTTTAAATCGACCAAAACTAGAAGAAAACTTTTATACTATTGGATGAACACTGAAATGATTGCTTGGTCCCAATAAATAAACGTTAATACACTGACAAAATTAAATACCAAAACTTATTGACTAAAAAATTAATTCATTTAATAGCAAAAAACTGTAATTTTGGCATTTAACTTTTACTGTGTACCCTGACAATCTGAAGACCTTTGAAGTACATTAAAAATGTTTTCTTCAAGTTTTTTTTTCTAAAAATGTCTGGAAAGTTATTTTTCGAAACTCGCGCGTCAGGTGCCGTAACTTACGAATCTAAACTCTATAACTCATTCTCAACTCGCTAAATTCCAAACAATATTCGTAGTACATAATAATAAATTTGTTTTTTTAATATTTTTTATTCCGTGTTTTAACTAGTGGGAATTAAAGTAAAAGGATTCAAATAAATAATATAAAATTTGCTATTTACAAAAAACGTATATTAACAAAATAATAAACAATAAACAAAAACTGTTAAAACGTCCCCAATTTCTATATTCTACGAAAATATCTTAGACTAAAAAATATTATTAAAAACCTCGATGTTTTAACAGCAACAGAACGCACAAATATACTAAAAAATTAATTAAATAAAAACGAAAACCCCAAATTATTATTAACCACTCGTGTGAATAACAAAGTGCAAAAAACTACCGTGTCAAAATTTAAAAATCAATTATTTATCAAGCAGATTTTAGTAAAAATTTATGAGGAATTCTGCATGAAAAAAATAGGTACAAATTTGTGGTGTTTTTGCAAAATTTTTCATAAAAAATCTTACTATAGCCTAACTGTTATTCTTTAAAAGGTGTACAAGTGACGTATGTACCCTGTATTATTAAAAAGTCGATACTAATATAAACAAATATTTTTTTAATAAAAAAAAATAAAATGTCGGGAAAGGGATGGTCATTGTACTACTTATAAGAATAAAAATATGAAACACCTTTTTCATTTTTTTTTAAATGACCACATCAAAGTACTAAATGTATTTTTAAAAATTACACTTTAAAAATTTTTAATAATTAAATTAGTGTCTCATATTTATTATTCAAAAAAACATTGTAAAGGGGGTATATATTCGGTTTTTTAAATTTTTTCTCATCATCAAAAAATGTAAACTGGATATTGCTAGAACGTAAGGAAGACCATAAACATCATATTCAGTCCCGTAACAACACACTCAATCTATGTACAACCCGTAATTTATTTAATTTAATTAATCTTTTCATTTTATTAATCAATATATGTACAAGTGGTTTCTCATCATTTCACATCGTTTTTTGGACAAGTTGGAGACAGCATGCGCCGAATTAATTAAAAACAGATTATTGTCAGATATTTCTACGTTTTAATGCACAGCAACTGAAAAAATCGACTACAAATCATAGAATTTAGTTATTAGTACCCTATATACTTAAAAATCACGATACCCGTGACTTTCGACACTTCAACTAGGTGGGGTTGATATTTTGACATCCTACATAACCTACAAACGTTTGACAGATGTCAAAAGTGTCATTTTTCGAAGCTAAAGCATTTTACGCACATTCATATCGTAAATTTCACGATAATGTAAAATCTAAGATGCCAAATTAATTCGACGCAAAGGCCCATGTCTTGTCCATTTTAATAATCAACAAATTGGTTTAACAAACCAAAAATTACAATAAAGTGTGAACCATACAAAATTTGTATTTTTATTCAATGCAAAACGGCATCTATTTTAATATTTGACATTTTGGAAACAGTGATTTACTTACGTTAATATAAAATTAACAAAATTTATTTCTGCCATTACAAGGCAAATGCTGTTGGGGCAAATATAAAGGCGAATAACTAAAATTGTGTTGGCAGGACTCGATAAATGTCAAATATCAACTGTTTTCTTCACCTTTATACTTCACCAAGCGACTATGTTCACTGTTACCACTGAAAACCCTCTACACATCACTATTAAATCTAATTAGTTCGAATCCAAAAAACTTAAAAACTCAAAATCATTTCTCATTATTTGTATTATATAATATACAATGTACACATATGTACATATTGTCTTAAGTACAATTTTCTTAAAAGTCTGTGTGCGTGTAACAAACACTAGAGCTCTGCGATAGCTGTTTGCGCGCCAATAATAAGGTTCACTGCGGAAAGCTTGGAACTTGGCAACAATGTTTACTTTGACGGTTGATCAAAGCCACAAATGTCAAAATAATACAAAAAACATATCGTCACCTGAGAATTATAGTATTCTATCTGCATTTTCTTTTTTTTTATTCAGGTTAGTCTTGTTTTAAGTATTAAAGATGCATATTGTTCTATCTATATATAATTGGGGTAGAAATTGTATAGTTTAAGCCTTAAACTTTACAATTTCTACCCCAATTATATATAGATAGATCAATATCATCTTTAAGACTTAAAACAAGACTAACCTGAATAAAAAAAAGAAAATGTAGATAGAACACTATAATTCTCAGGTGACGATATGTCAAGGTCACTAAAAGATTTTTCAAGGTTATAGCTTAGGTTTAAGTAAGGATTGTTGACGAAACTGTTTGAAATTTGGAAATTTATATTAAATATAGTTAATTTTTTTGATTTTCTAAATGTTCTTGTAAAACAACTGTCAAAATTTTAGACTTAAAAAAACATTTAAAGGTGGTTCAAAATGACAATTGTCAAAATTATAGGTTTAAAGTGACAGAAGTTAAGGTCACTAGATTTTTCAAGGTGTGGTTAAAAGTTAAAACTGTCACTTTTATTAAATTAGTGCAAAAAGCAAGTTCTTGTAAAACTGTCAAAATTTAAAACTTTGAAAAAAACATTTAATTTGCCACTTTTCCCAGGTTATAAAGGTTGTTCATAATGACAATTGTCAAAATTATAGGTTTAGAATGACAGATGTCAAGGTCACTAGATATATTTGAAGGTTGCAGCTGTCAAAATTGTTAAAAACCATAGATAGATTGTGGGTACTAGTTAAAAAATAGGCTTAAAATACATGTCTAAGAAATTTATGGTTACATTTTTCGATTTTCTAGATGTTCTTGTAAAAAAACTGTCCAAATTTAAGACTTTGAAAAAAATATTTAATTTTTCACTTTTCCCAGGTTATAAAGGTTTTTTTAAATGACAACTGTCAAAATTATCGGTTTAAAGTGACAGATGTCAAGGGCACTAGAGATATTTTGAGGTTACAGCTGTCAAAATAGCAAAAAAACCTTAAGGATTGTGGTAACAAGTTTAAAAAAAGAGTTAACATACATGTCAAAGAAATCTGTGGGTAAAAGGCATAACACGGTGCTGTTCTGAGAGATGATTTTTGGACTTTCTGTGAAACCTAATTTTTTTTTATATTCTTGTTAATTAGGTCATAACTAAAATTTTAAGAGCAAAAAATTTGACGCTTAATTTTGTTTTAATTGGATGATTATTGAAAATATGTATGCACACTTTCAATTCTCCAATTAAAACTTGCGATTCTGATAGAACAAAAATTATAGAATACGTATACTGAAAATGACAATTCAAACGTCAAATAAATTTTTAATAGATCTAAGTTCCATATGGCAACCTTTAAGGATATATTAATTAAGGGAACATAAATGTATACGTCGAAGGTTAGATTAAAAGTTTGAACGTTTATTGCAACAAAACAGTAAAATATATAAAAAAAATTGTAAAAACCTTTTTTTTAGTTATGCAAATATTAAATTTTTAAATTAAATCGCTAGTTTTAATTGGATAATTGAAAGAGTGCATAATATTTTTAATAAACAGCCAATTAAAACGATTCAAACCGTCAGTTTTTTTTATTTTGCTCTTAAATTCTTAGTTATGACCTAATTAACAAAAATATAAAAAAAAATTAGGTTTCACAGAAAGTTCAAAAATCACCTCTCAGAACAGCACCGTGATAAGGGGATAAGTCAAAAAATGCAATTTTTCGGTAGACTTAAACGTGTTCGCATTAATTCAGGAAATATATTTATGATTAGCTAGTATACCATTTTGCTAGCATATGAGCCGCCACTGGCTCGAAGAGGGTGGGCACAAAAAACTTACCTACTAATTTTTGTACATAAAGTCCATTCTCCTATTTTTCATGCGAGAAACTGAATTTTCGTGTTTCTTAGCCCTCTGTTTTAAATCATCTAACCCATGTTAATTCCACGCACGTATATTTTTTTTTGTAAAAATTAAGCACATAAAACAAAAAAGCTTATTGGTTACTGAACATCCGCATATCCACTCGTATTTTTCATAGATATTTCTGTTGAATACTCTATTGTAAGTTCGGCCTTTATCTGTGGAAGTGTAGTGTATTAGAAAATCGGGAATATGTCTTCCTTTTTTCTTAATTAAAAGTTTATCTTCAAGTGACATCGGGCTTTTTAAAAGATTTTGCACACATATTACTTCCGCTAGTGCCATTATTGTTAATAAAAAATAAAGTTTATTTAAAAAAGAAAACACGTAATTAACTTAAAACTTCAAAAAAAAAACAACGGCGCGCGGCGACAAAAAAGTTAGAAATCAAACAAACTGACACAGATCACATCTCAGCTGTTGAAGACACTGCGCTCGGTGCCCCAAATTGACGATATATTCGCGTACTGAGAGAATAACCGAATCATACTCGGAATAGGTACATTTCAAACTGTGCCCCGGCGGAGCGCGCTGAAGCGTTGCGAAAAGAAGGTTTAAATTCAACCGTTTGAGCGGACGGAATGTTGTTACGTATAACTAAAATAATGCACAATGCAACAAATAACTTTACTTTATTGGGCACGTGCCCTTATGCCCTTTAGAACCAGCCGCCACTGATATGACATGTGCTGGCAAAAGGGTATACCCGCTAACCATACATGTATTTCCTAAATTCATGCGAACACGTTTAAGGCACTACTAAAAAATTGATTTTTTTTACTTATCCCCTTATGCCTTTTACCCACAGAAATGTATGGTTGCATTTTTTGATTTTCTAGATGTTCTAAACAACTGTCAAAGTTTAAGACTTTGAACAAAACATTTAATTTGTCACTTTTCTCAGGTTATAAAGGTTCAAAATGACAATTTTCAAAATTATAAGTTCAAAGTGACAGATGTTAAGGTCACTAGATTTTTCAAGGTTACAGCTATCAAAATTGTGGTTTAAAGTTAAAACAACTGTAAAAATTTAAGACCGAAAAAAATACATTTAATGGGGTAGTTAAATTTTTTCTGACCTATACTTTTTATGGTTTTATTCAAGGCGTTTTGTAATTTTAAACATTTCTGTGAAATCGGAATTTCAATTGAGTTTACCGTTTTCGAGATATTTACAAAAAAAATCTCCTAATTACGTCACTAGGCTATTGACAACGTTGCCAGCTTTTTCTATGGTTGCCAGTGTGTTTAGTTTAAGATTCTTACGATAGATGGCGCCACGTTATAATATTTTAGTTTTAAAACCACTTGACCTATAATTTTAGTTGAGAAGAAGAAGAATTGATTTTTTGACGTTTCTTTTTTTCGGGTTATGTTTTTTTAAATTTAGATTATTGAAAATCAATGTTATTGTTATGTTATTTGTAATTAATATTAGATAAGTGATTTATTAATAACGGACTCCAAAGCAGAGGAATCTTGTGGAATGGTTGGTTACATTGAACATTGGAGCTTTTAAACAAATAAAGTAAGTACCTATAATTATAATCATATTTTGTCGTAAATGCATTTCATTAGTATAATGCCTAGTTCTTTATATTCTTTTAGATATATCTTGGACTCTAAAATATCAAACAGTAGTATGATACCTCGTAATAAGGAAGATAGGTACTTAATGAATTTGGTGACCATCTTTCACTCAACTGACAGTGACAGTATTTGTAATAACCTCTTCGGGTATTTTCTGACATAACCGAATGAAATCATTAACAAGACAACTTGACAACAGGGTAATTTTCAACCAATAGAAATCTTAGAATGTTGGTGACATGGCGAGGTTTGTGACGTCATAAAAACTTATATTTTTTGTAAATATCTCGAAAACGGTAAACTCAATTGAAATTTTGATTTCACAGAAATGTTAAATATTACAAAACGCCTTGAATAAAACCATAAAAAGTATAGGTCAGAAAAAATTTAACTACCCCATTTGTCACTTTTCTCAATTTTTGGAATTGGAATTTGGAAATGTATAATAAATATGGTTAAATTTTCTTGAAAAACAATTTAAACTTAAAGGTTACAGCTGTCAAAAGATGCCCGGTGGAGAAATCAATTGTTAACGATTACTAAAACGTCAAATCTTATATCAACCGTCAAAATATGTGGTTTTGGCGACAAATTAAATATTAAACAAAAAATACACGAGAAATTGGTTGGTAGTTCTTGAATAAGAGATTGACGTTTTACAACTTTTTTTTGCATATAAGTTGACTTTTGACGTTTGTACTTAGAGCTGCAAACTCCGCTCAATAGATGGTTTCATATTGAGTTTTTAAGCATAACAGTATTGCCAACTCTATAAAGCCAACCACGTAAACCTTGTTTCTTTGGGGCGCATGAATTATTCTCGGCCGTATATCATAAATTTATTATTAGTTATATTATTATTAAAATGAACGAAGTAAGGTGGTATATTTTGGGTTTTACCATTCGAAGTTCCTGAAGTTGTAGAGATGCTGTTTGTGGGGAGAAAAAGAGATAGAGAGAAAGAGAAAGGGGATGTTTTTGTATAGTTTAGCTGTGAAATTCGTAGTTTTGTCTTGTAGAAGATCTTGAAGAAAGGGAAACATTTTCGTAGCATTACCTTGTGTTTACGAACGTATTATAATAATATAAATAGCAGCTGTTGTTTCGGTTTATACTCGGGCCCGCGAGTCATCGTCGGTGTCAGTGCTTCGACAACGAGTGGCCCGAGTGCTTCCCCTAACTGCTCGTGCTCGCCATCGGCGACACCGGCGACAGGGGCGTGCAAGCGGGGTCGCGCAGGCACCCGTTGAGCGTGATGAGCAGCTTGCGCGAGCCTGCGAGATCGCGATGCTCGCACAGCCACACGCCCTGCCACTTGCCCAGGTTCAGCTTGCCTTCGGTCACGGGGATGCTCAGCGACGAGCCCAGGAAGCAGGCCTTGACGTGCGCCGGCTAGATGCGCAGAAACGACACTGTTAGTTTGTGGGCTTTTTGTTCGGTGCGGGTTCTTATAGTGATGAGCGAAACAGCGATATTTGCCTAACGCGCCGTTTAGCAGTATTTTACTGCTAAACGGTGAAAAATTGTTATAATAGGTAAACATCTCAAACAGAGATGGCGCTACCAGGACCACAACACACTTACTTCCACACATATACGTCTTATTCGCTATATTATATATATATATATATATGACTAAAGACCGGATTTTAAGCATGATGCTTATTGCTTAATTTTTTGCTTTTTTTAAGGTTTTATGCTTTTTTTCGATTTCGTGCTTATTTAAACTTTTTTCCATATTTTTATACATTTTTTTTAATTAATTGTTTCGACTTTTACATGTTAATAATATGTTAATATAAACTACACTGTTTAATTCTAACTTCAAAATCTTACATATAGAAAACAAAAGTATGAAACTAAATTTATTAGAGTCTATGGAAATTAACAAATTAAAGGAAAAAAACTGATATTATTCTCAATGACCAACTTGATACCAATAATTCCCCGTTATTAAATTTATTTTAATATATTCAAATAGTTTAGTGTTATATAACTATAAAGATTACAGGGCATTCCCATAATTATTGTTCCTTTAATCTACCCCCAATATTGTACTAAAAATGTTACCTGTTAAAACCATCATTTATATAAATAGTAAATTAATATAAGTTAGTATTCGATCTGAAGAAGCTACTGTGTAGCGTGCTTTTTAATGTTTAGTTAAGATACGCTACGGGGTTCTATTATTGTGCTTGCGCTTTATTTGCTGTACGTGGTAATTATTTAGACAATGCCAAAACAAAAGCCAACCATTGAAGAGTGGATTAGTGGTCACAAGGAACTAAAAATTGACAATAAAAAGGTCTTTTGTCAAGCATGTTCTAAAACTATAAGTAAAATTATAGTATTTATTTATTGTTAAAAATTACTGATTTTATTTTATGGTTTTGAAGAGATTTCCTTTTTGACTTAAATTGAATTACTTTAAGGTATAAATGAAAATTTTAAGGATAAAATAAAATAAATTGAATAAAATACAACTTTTAATTTCTAAAATATTATTCGACTTTACATTCTACTTTCTCAACCCAATACTGTAATGGTTTCCTTTCAATAAAAAGCCGCCTAGATAGTGTTTTTTTATTTTAATCAATCTAATATGGGATTATTTTTTTTAAATATTCCGATTTTGAAATGGATCCAGCCATTATCCCGAAATTTAAATATGCACCAATGACCAGTGTGGATGTGGAGAGAAGTTTTTCTGCATACAAAAACATTTTAACAGACAGAAGACATAATTTTACTATAGAAAATTTGGAGAAACATCTAGTTATACATTCCTTTAGGTCTTAATAATAGATATAATGTAAAAATAATAAAATGTATCATTTAAATAATAAACACCAATATTAAGATTATTACAACTTTTTTGCCCCTATATATTAATTATTTTTAATTAACTTGCTTATTTGGTGCTTTTTTGGCAAATTTCATGCTTTTTAAGAGCTTTTTATTTAATATTTTGATACTTTTTTAAGCACTTTTTTTTTTTAAATTGTGCTTATTTATCCGGTCTCTATATATGACCTTGTTCCCTTTTTTCGTAAATTTGCTGATTTGCCGTATCATTTTGCCTTATGCGGATAGTCAGTTCATAAGTGGGGGATTTAAAATATATGATACCATAGACATCACAGAACAAATTAATACGTCCACATATGATACGAATTGTCAACTAAATAGAATTTAGATTATATCAATTTTTTCTAAATCATTTGCTTAGGTTAAGCTTACAAAAATTTCTGTGATTTGGCTTTATACGCTAAAGAAGTATCGGGTTTTCGCAACGCGCGCGCCATCTGGTGGACTTCGAATGCATTGCGTGAATTTAAGAATTGCCAACAATAAATTTAAAGAACCGATTATACATCATTATTAAATAAATAGGTAGTTTATTTTACAAAAGAGCGAAAGTCTTACTCGACAAATTTTGTGTTTTGTGTTTTACGTTGCAAGGAAAAAATTAAAAAACTTTTTTAGTACTCGATTTCGATTTATTATTCCTTATATCATTAATTAAGAAACTCGACGCTTAAATGCTTATATAGTTACGTTAGTTTGTGTATTTTATCAAAGGGATCATGATGAATTATTGTGTTTTTAATTGTAAATAAAATTCAAGAACTAAATCGTTGCATTTTCATGTTTTGCCAAAGGATCCAATTCAGTAAGTACATTTGTTGGTGCATAATTAACTAATGATAACTTTACTCAATATAATTTATATTTAAGTTTAGACATTTTTAAGAAATTAATAAGAAATAATTTTTGCACAAACATAACCTTAAAATCAACCATTTTTATATTTGAATTGTCTAAAAAACGCCGACAACTGCATTTTAAACAACAAAATATACCTACGAATTCATGGCAACATAATATAATGGTATAAAGGTATTTTACCGTTGAGTGGAGACTTTAAAGAATTCTTAATCAACGCTTTTAATAATGCTAAATGCTGATAAATTTAGACGACTTATTTGTTTGACGATTTTTACTGAATTGAAATGTTTACACTTTTCACGTTAATCACTACTAAAATGTGTATTTATTGTATCTAATGTGTACAATTTATATTTATAGAGAATATGCAATTTATTCCTTTATTCAGATTAACACTGTTTATTGGAATACCGGTAAAAACTCAACCCAGGATTTCCTCTCGAAATACAACCAACAACACAACAAATCGAGCACCGGTTTTTTTCGATATTTTTTTAACATTTTCCGGCTTTATTCTCAAAAACACTCGTTTGTAACCTAAGCGTTTGACAGCTGATTATTAAAAGTTCTACTTTTGTTACAATGATAACAGCCGAGTGGTGGCGCTACTAGCGATACTTCGTTAGCGTATAAAAAGCAAAAAGTGGCATAATATGCCTATTATGTAAAAGCCACTAAAAAACTCGTAAACAATGGAAAAAAAGAATGTTAAAACAATTGGTATACAACAGAAAACAAACAAAATGGATAATTATAAAAACCATCTAGTTCATTTTTTTTTATCTGGACGTTGCAAGTTTAGGGTTTTGGTTGGTAAATACAGTTGTCAAGTTGGTGGCATTGATTAAAACAAACTAAGCTACTAAGCTAATTGTGGTTATGTATATAAATTATTGTAGGTTACATTGTGCAGTTGTCAAGTTGAGTTGTCGAAATTCGTAGTTAAAAATGCAATTAATTTGGCTTTGGTGGTGCTTGGATGAGTAGTATAAAAAAAGTAGTTAAATATAGGTTGCTTTACGGCCCAGAAGAGAAAGTATTCTTGGCGGATAATAATCTTCGCTTTGAAAAGAATTTATATAAAAGAAATTGGCATTAATTAAAACAAACTAAGCTACTAAGCTAATTGTGGTTATGTATATAAATTATTGTAGGTTACATTGTGCAGTTGTCAAGTTGAGTTGTCGAAATTCGTAGTTAAAAATGCAATTAATTTGGCTTTGGTGGTGCTTGGATGAGTAGTATAAAAAAAGTAGTTAAATATAGGTTGCTTTACGGCCCAGAAGAGAAAGTATTCTTGGCGGATAATAATCTTCGCTTTGAAAAGAATTTATATAAAAGAAATTAAAATATTTTGTGGACGTAAATGTTGTCCAATGGTAAATAATGTGAAAATAATGTGTGATGTAATATTTATAAAAACCAAATTCGTTACTTTTTTACTCCAAAAATGTCCATAAGGCGATGTACTTTTTCTTCCATTGTGGCATTTGGCATAATTTCATCAAAATGAAGTTTTGCCCTCAAAAGGGCTTTTACATTCGAATTCGTTGCTATTATTTTTGGAATAATTATCTTTTTATTTATAATTATTATAAAAAATGGTAGGTACTTCTGCTGAAGACCTTAATTAAATACTCTGACACTGTTAAATTGGCAGTTATATTTATTATTGATAATTTACTAAGTACAAGTCTTGTTAATTATTATATAATATCGATATACAAAAATAACTATGCCAAAAATAATATCAGATTCTAATGTAAAAGAACAGAAAAAGTACATCGCCTTATGGACATTTTTGGAGTAAAAAAGTAACGTTTTTGGTTTTACAAATATTAAATCACACATTATTTTCGGCTAAGCAGATCAAAAAATTTTGAAATTTAAAAAAATAAGGGGGAAATAAAAAAACAAAAAATAAAAATTATTTCGCTGTTAGGTTCAACCTTTTTGTGAAAAAACTATCCTTGAAAATATAAGAAAAGATAAGCAATAATCACGAACCTTTTTCTTCTTTCAATTTGCAAGTTACTGATCATTAATAGTCCTGGACAATATATACATTATAATTAATATAAAGCCACTACAAGTATTAACGTCCAGTGGCTTTAACAAAATACCCATTCACCATTGGAATCCAATGATTGGACAACATTCACGTGTGTTCACATAAAATTTTAATTTCATTTATATAAATTCTTTTCAAAGCGAAGATTATTATCCGCTAGGAATACTTTGTCACTTCTGGGCCGTAGTCACCTATATTTAACTACTTTTTTATATGATTTTCCTCATCTACGCTCCACCAAAGCCAAATTAATTGCAGTTTTGACCAGTGGTGGCTGGTTCTAAAGGGCAAAAGGGCACGTGCCCACCCAACCGCCCAGATAAAAAGTAATAAAAGTTATTTGTTGCATTGTGCATTATTTTAGTTATACATAACACCATTGTAATTACTATTTAAGGATGGTCTGAAACCTTCCTTCCGTCCGCTCAAACGGTTGAATTTAATTAAAACTTCTTTCCGCAACGCTTCAGCGCGCGCCGCCGGGGCAAAATTTAAAATGTATCTATTCCGAGTGATCTTCGGTTCTCCTCTTAGTACGCCGCGTACGCGAATATATCGTCAATTTGGGGCACCGAACGCAGTGTCTCTTTAACCGCTCAGGTTGTATCTGTGTCCGTTTGTTTGATTTCTAACTTTTTTGTCGCCACGCACCGTTGTGTTTTTAAGTTTTAAGTGAATTACGAGTTTTGTTTTTTAAATAAACTTTATTTTTTATTAACAATAATGGCACCCGCGGAAGTAAGTTCGTCACCCTAATATAACAAGGTTGTATGTTAAAAAATCGAAAAATTTGAGTTTATGCTTCTACAAGGTTTTATGTAATCCACCCTTGACATACAACTTGAAAATAACTCTATATATATGTATACATAGAATATACATTCTATAGAATTATTTTTAAGTGGTATGTGAAGCGTAGGCCACGTATAATGTTGTAGAAACATAGACTTAAATTTTTCGTTTTTTTTAACATACAACCTTGTTATATTAGGGTGACGAGTTGTGTGCAAAATCTTTTAAAAAGCCCGATGTCACTTGAAGATAAACTTTTAGTTAAGAAAAAAGGAAGACATATTCCCGATCTTCGAATACACTACACTTCCGCAGGTAAAGACCGAACTTACAATAGAGTATTCAACAGAAATATCTATGAAAAATTCGAGTGGATATGCGGATGTTCAGTAACCAATAAGCTTTTTTGTTTTATGTCCTTAATTTTCAAAAAAATAAATTACGTGCGTGGAATAAACATGGGTTAGATGATTTAAAACACATCGCAGAGAGGGCACGAAAATTCAGTTTCTTGCATGGACACCCTCTTCCAGAACCTACGAGCCGCCACTGGTTTTGACTACGAACTTTGACAACTTAAATTGACTCAAGTTGACAACCGTTCAATGTAACCTACAATAAGTTAAACACAACCACAATGTATTGGTACCTTAGAAGAAAAAACATTGGTACATTATAATTTGTTATTATAGTTTGTTTTAATAAATGCAACCAATTTTGGTTCCGTATTTACCAACCAAACCCATAAATTTGCAACGTTGCCGTTTTGCACATGCATGGGCCGTGTTGTCAGATGTAATTATATTCTAATATTATTTTCGTTATTATAAAGCTTATAAAATTTCTTATATCGCAAAATTTATAAAGAATGTTTTTAAGTATTAATAATAAAAATAAATATTATTTTTTTAATTTTATTAAAATGTTTTTTAGCATTAGAAATTTGGCTACGTCTTATTTTATTACCCAAGCAAGGACTCCTTGCCAAGGAGATATAATCAAACATTTTGGTTTACTATTTGGCTTTGTTTTTTTAAGCTTTTGATTGATTTTTGGACCTTTTTAAGTTTGTTTTGGAATGTTTTAATTTAATTTACATAGGTAGATATTAGGGATGCACCGGAATTCCGGCGGTACCACCAAATTCGGCTGATCCGGCCAGTTGGCCGGAACTACCGTTCCGGCCGGATCGCTCCGGCCGGATCGCTTTCCAGATATATTTTGTAATTGGTTAACAGTAAAGGGTGTGCGTGTTTCCTTGCCTATGATAGACCGGCGGCTGTGGTTCCCCGACTTCATTTTATTTTTTTTATTATTGGCAGGTGGCTGCTATTCTCCAATTGAATGAGTAGAATTGTTTTAATTTTGTTAACGCTAATTAAAAATTAATATTTAAATAAACACTAATTTCTATCTAGGTAAAATTAATAGTACTAAATACTCTGCATACTGTAGCTAGTTTAAAAAAAAATACAAATAAATCAGCCTCAATATTTTCAATGTTTTACGTATAAAAACAGGCATGCACATACATTTTAAATTTATGTCCCGATCCGGCCGGAATTCCGGCGATCCGGTTCGGCCAGCAGCCGAAATTCCTGTTCCGGCCGGATCGGCAAAATACCTGATTCGGTGCATCCCTAGTAGATATTATTTCTATGGTATATTTTTAAACCGGCAATGACACCACGCATGCGCCGTTAAAAATTCTCCTAGAGGAGAAACTTTCTTCCAGAAAGTATACTTTAACCCCACGAAAAGAAAACAGTCTCAGCCCGAAATGATTTGTATATGTGTGGAAATATGTGCCACAACTTAGATGGCGCGACTTCACTAGTTATAAAAAATCGCTGTTATATGCGATATTGCGCAACTACTACTTTTGAGTAACAGCTATTAAATCACCGTTAGCGATATTTCGCTCATCACTAGTTGTTTAGGTGCTACTCTAGGCTACAGTTTTACTAAAAGTAATGCCAAATTTACACGTAGTCATTATAAATTTTACAAGTTGGCCACTTTTTCTCTCAAACAATATTCCTTGAGTTTTCCAGGACTTTTTAGAGTTTTTTTTCAGGCTGAATTTACTGAAAATTGCATAACTTTTAGTCTAACAAGGAGATTGTTATTGTAAACATCAAATATATTTAGAAAAAAAAAAAAAAACGGATTGAAAAAATTGTCAAAATAATATGTTTAAACTTTAAAGTAAGATTTTTCTAGGTAACAGCTGTCAAAATTATTAAAAACGGATTGTGGTTAAAAGTTAAAAAGTTTTTGAAATAAAAATATCACTTTTTGTTAAAATTCTCTATTTATATTGTAATTCAATTATTTGCATATTTTCTTGAAATAAATGAGCTAATTTTTTAAAAAGAATTTTTTTAAGTAACATCTCTAAATATGTATATTAATATCAAATTAAAAGCTTTGTGGATTCTTCTTCAAAAATAAAATTACAAAACGAATCACTTTTCAGAAAAAGTCCTGTTGTATACTTTTCCAGAAATTTTGAAATCCCTTATTTTAAGGGATAATTTATACAAAGTTGGCCACCCTGAATGTGACAAAAATTTACGTGTAAATTCGGTATCAGTAGTTGATGAAAGTCCCAATCAATTTTGTTGTTTCATTCAATTATATTAAATATCAGTATTTTGACAAAAAAATTAAGTTGACAAAATATGGTTTTATATTTTGACCCGTTAAAATTGATTAAATCTCAAAAAAATTTATAAAAATATTAAAGGTTATCATTTACCCTTTGGACTATAAGCAATAACAAAATCCACAATCATTAATTCGACTTTCATCAACCTAAATATGTAGGTATGAAAATCTAAATTCATAGACAAATATTTTCATAAAAAACCCTATAAATAAAAATGTCAACAGTATTATACTAAAATGAAAAAAAAATATTCGCATTTCACACTCAAATAAACTAAGTATCTGGATTAAACCTAAAAATTGTGTATCATTAAAAAACCCAATATTAATTAAGTAAATTAAGCAAAAATAAATCATAATTATAACCTACAAAAGTGCTATTATTACACTATTTCTTATTTTTAAGTTGCATTATTGTTTACTAAATAAAACAACTAATCTATGTTCAGTAACACTGACATGTTTTATTTTTGTTTCAGTCTTACATAGTCCAAGGATAAATAGAAAAGTAAAGAATATATTAAATTTAACTTTCAAAAATATTTTAAATATACAAAATTGTGTAATTTGTCAATTTTATTATAATACTGTAAAAGTGTAATCTTTTATCTACCCCTGCATTTAATACACTAGCATTTTAAGTTACCAGTGCATTAAATTGGGAAAAATTGAGGTTAAAACTCAGATTCAGAAAAAGTGAGGTTAAAACCGCTTGACAGATGTCAGATAAAATGTCAAATAAAATTCATTAACCTTATCTGTCAAATTGACATTTAAAATGTAGGTTATGAAACCACAAGTATAAAAAGTAAAGTGATTAGTTTTGGGTAATAAAATGAGTAAAAAAATTTACCATATCGTCTGGGCCTTCACACGAGTGTCTGTAAGGTAAACCTTCGGGTACAATTTTATTTAGCATCATTTCCATGTCGTCTCTTACATCTGGATCCCAACTTTCGTTCAAAGCCAGACTGGCACTAGTGTGAAGAACTAAAAACAGTAAATATGATATACCTAAAAAGAACTAACTTTGTACATACAATTCTTTAAAATCATAGCAAAATAAACATAAAAAACACAGGTGTTTTAAGAAACATTCAATAAAAATCAAGCAACTTAGATCTGTCAAAGTTGGAGGTTATGTTGCAGGTTGAAGCAATTATTTGACATTTTCGGTTGTATTTTGACAATCTAAGGCGTACAGTTGAAGGAAGGCGGATATGTTGATTTTAAGTGTTTTGATTTTGGGGCTATTTCTCTTACTTTGGACGTGACACAGTCCCATGGCAAATTGTGACAGTTCGGGTATCTGCCTGAGGATCTCTTCGGTGACCAAATGGACGCCCCTGTGTTGCGGCCTCAGATTGATCTTCTTCTGAAACCATGCGGAATTGCTTTGGATAATTCTGGCAGTAGAAGCCATGTTTGACTTGCTGTCGCTGTCCGTGTTCGCCAGTTTGAACGTTTATTTTCACTCGGTTACACGCACAATACGCTTAAGCACGACACCGTTTTTAAACCTCACTAGATTCATTATTATCATGAGCAAATCATCGGGAGATTTTTTTATTTATTTGTTAACCAGTCCAAGGGAAATAAAAAAGGTTACAGGATACCGCAGTAGGCGGCCGATTTCGTTTCTGACACTTCGGCTCGCATCGGCCGTTTCCGTCCGGGCGCGGACGACAAACGCGCCAACTTCAAATTCCCACCGCGAAAGTTTCAAACGTTCATTAGTCTTTAAACGTTCATTGCCCCAAAATAATCATTGAACCTTTTTTGTAGAGAATTTAGAAGTCTACATTTTAATTATGAATGTTACTTTTTCTATAAAGAAAACTTATGTAAATTGACTTCTTGTATACCTTAAGAACATCAATTATTCAAATACGGCAATCATTTTACCCCAATAGGTACACCATTTACAATTACTTATTCGATCCTTTTAAAACAAGATTTATTTTTATAAGCAATAAAACAAACCATTAAAAAAAAGAAACTTTCAATGTTTATTTAATAAAACAATACTTCGTTGGAAATCTTTTCCACGATTCCATTACATTCCAGGACGTTTATAGACACGAACAATCGATAAATTACAGGTTACAAGTAATGTTTCATAATCATAAACCGGAATCAATTTTCATAAAAATTCGGCCATCTCTTGACCTCGCTCGGTCGATACATTCAAATTTCCCGCCGGTGTAAACATCACATTATGCGGTGTTGCCACGAGTACATTTGTAGTAATGTTTTAAGCGTATTTAGGATTGTTTATCTAAATGTAATTGAATTTATCTCTTTTGGTAGATAAATTATAATTATTTACGTGATTTTGTTGAGGGTTTTCTAGTGGGTTGTCATTATTTTTTGTTGGTATTTCCTGTTGGTGTTTAGTGTGGCATCATTGCTGGGGTGAATTCTGTCAAAAGTTGTCTTTTGAGCGACTTTCCACGCTTTATTTGCCGTTAAAACCGCCAAAAGTAGTTTTCGTTGTCGTATTGTTGTAAATTTTAATTATGTGAGTATTTTTCAAGTTGCTCCGTTTGTAGTAACCTATATTTCTGGAATATTCGTGTAATGAGTAATAGTAGGATTGTTAAAGCATTGAAAAATTTGTTGTAGAATGTCGGGAATCGCTTCCGCCAGATTAGCCGAAGAAAGAAAAGCGTGGAGAAAAGAACATCCCTTCGTAAGTATTTAAAATAACGGATAAAAACTAAAAATACAACAGTTTTTAGCCTAAAAGGTACCGTTTTAGTGTGCTGTTTTACATTAAATGTGCACAAAATGTAAGGCTGTTATTTTGAATTTGGGCAGTTTTAAAATATAAACATCAATGTAGCTGAACCTGTATTTAGTATTTTACTTATTCAGGCTTTAAATGTTCTTTCTGAATTGAGGCAATGTTATCAGTAATTTATGTTTTGAAAGACATCGTAGTGTTTTCTAAAAAAAAGAGTAGAATTAATTTGTAAAATATTACCTGCATAATTTGGTTTAAAACTTAATAAAAATCGTCGAGTTTTGTTTTTTAAGAAATTTGTACAGTTTAATAAAGTGTCAAAAACTGATGCCTGATAAAAAAACAAAGTCTTTGCGGCCTTTATTAAACATCTAAAATGGTTTTTATGAAAACACAATATACCATGCATCTACAGAGACTTAAATTTGCTTGAGAGGTGTATTTTCTGGCAGTTACTGTTGTGTTAATAAAAATGAAACTAAATCATCATAACTTTTTTATTATTAACAAATTTAACTTTTTTAATTTAATGTGTTTGGAAAACTGTTTTCTACCCTTTTATATCAATAAATAGTTTTAAAACATTCAAAAAACCAAAACCCTAGTAGCAATGGAATTGGACAAGATTCTTTGTCAAGATACTTGGAGAAGCACTTTGTAAAGAATTGAACAATTCTTGACCAAGACTCTTGATCAAAATTCTTTATCCAGACTGGTGGCAGACTTGGACAAGTCTGTGACCAGAATTTGACCAGATTCTTGGCCAAGAATTTTTACACGATTACACGTTAAATAGGAACTTTCAATTCAAGATTTTTGGTCAATACAAAATTTTGTTGAACTTCAAAAGTTAAGAATGTTACTAAAAACATTAATTTTCCACGATTTCTTTCCAGTAAATTCGGTTTTTATCCATAAATCTGGTAAACAATAGAATTAAAAACAAAACAAATTTTGAAAGAGTTAAAGTTTTTAATTTTCTATGTTAAAAAAAAACCAGGTGCCCGTAAAAATAAACATGTATTTTATAATCTTTCATGTTCATAAAGAGTAAACTCTAGTTATGTATGCGTCAGAGCTGACACACACTTTTTTTTATTAATTTTTGATTTTTAGAAATAACAATTTTTATTTTTCAAAAAATCATTTTTTTTCTCAGTTAGAAGACGAATCCAATAAGCTCTTATTCGTATTTTCACATAAACAAAAAAACTATACTCATTTCCTACAGAGAACTCACTTCTCGACTAGTATACATTATTGTGAATGATACTACTGTAGAATGAGAACCTCTACTCTATAGGATAGTCCCAAAGTTTAGCAATAGATGGCCTCAGATTTCTGGTCAAATTCTGGCCACAGTCTGGCTCAAGTCTTGCCCAATAATCTTGGCCAAGAATCTGGAACAATTCTTGTACAATTCTTGAGCAAAAATCTGTCCAAAGTATCTTGACCCATGCTGGGCCAAGACTTTTCCGGAATTGCTACTAAGTTCGAATTTTAAAAACTACCTTTTCACGTTTTTCAAATAATTTTTGAGAACGTTACAGCCTTTTAAAGAGAGATTGACATAACAGATATATCAAAAATTACGAATGAATCTGTTTTTAGGATATGTTTAATAATCTTTAAAGTATTTAAATCGCTCGAAAATCGAGGAAAAGTGCACAATTTTAAAAATAATTGTTTGACTTTATACTAAAATAAGTTAATGGCTTTAACAAGTAAAAAGATAATAACTGTGAAAGAATTTGGTTATGTTTGGAATATTTATTTTTATTCGTAAAACTTGACACGCCTATATTATGTCTAAAAATAATTAAAAATTATCATTTAGGCAGAAAATTAATCATTAAAAACCAGCGAATTTCTAAATGATTTTTAATTATTTTTTTACTTTAACACAATAACGTGAATCAAAATTCATAAACGCGACAACATTGTTAGTTGATAGTTGGCTTTTCGCCAGTGGCAGTGACAGGTCTATATGCAGTGTTATTTTAAATCTAAACATGAGTTGTGAAAAAATTGGTTATTTAAAAAAGTTATGGGAACAAAAATAAAGCAACAGAAATCATGCAGTATGTTGAATACAGCGAAAGTCTAAAGAGAAGAGCAGAAAACAGAGAATAAAGGTATAGAATGTAGGAATGTTTAATTATTTTAAACAAATAAATAACTTGACTGAATTGTGTTTTTTTAATAATTCGCTTTTAACACAAAATTATGGTAGTCAATAAATATCCCTAGATAATTACGTGTTCGTAATCCTGTGTCGCCGGATCGTCTAGGCGAGAATGACAGATTGATAATTTTGATTGGACACAGTCAACATTTAGGTATATGGCACTTCTACAGGCATAAGTGCATACCAGAAAAAATTCATTAACTTTTCTGTGTCGCGTTATAAGATATCTTAAAGCCTGATTTATAGATTGCCTTCCTTCCTTCCTTCCTCCCTTAGAAGATGATCAATACAAAAACCGTTGTGCTGTTTAAAGATTCCCGTATGGGAGGAAGGAAGGAAGGCAATCTATAAATCAGGCTTAACTGTATATACAGTTAATTTTTTTTTATTTGGACTTTTTTTTATTAAGTTGGTAGCTTATGCCAGTTTGATTTAGTATTTTTAGTCACAATCCACACTGGCCTGTTCAATCTCGTAGTAAAAATACTAAAAATCACTGCAACACTGCACATCATACGATGACGGCCATTTTTGTTGTTTACAATTCTTGTGCTTTGGGTTTGTACAGATTAATAATCGTTTTTAACGTTGTGTTTCTTACAGAGAGACTTGCAAGCCTTAAAGGAGACCTCAAAGTGGTAAGAACAATCATTTTACTGCTCTTGTAAAAAATAAACCTTATTCTATCAGGGCTGTCAAATGTCAATTTGGAGGTTAATTTAAGGTTATTTTATAACCCACAAATTAACCTTCAAATTGACATTTGATAGAATATGGTTTATTTTTTACAAAAGAGGAGTAAAATGATTGTTCTTATTACCACTTTGAGGTCTCTTTTAAGGCTTGCAAGTCTCTCTGTAAGAAACGGTGGGGAATCATGTGGTCGTTGATTCAATATCGAATCGTCGCGGGATTTCGGTAACAAGAAGACGATTTATCAGGGCCGCGGCTTGCCGTTTGTTCGTACAGAGCGACTACCGAAATACATGTATATAATTGTGCATGAACATATATGTCAATACAATCTATAGAGATGATGGACGGGGTGACATTCCTTAGACCGCTCAACTTAGCCTGAACGGACAGTACGCATTGCGTACTCCCCGGCGACCTGCCTTCGTCACTGCTGCTTGTACTTTCAAGTTATTTTATCAATAAATATTGAAATATTTAGTCCTATAGGTATTCACCAAATACCATTATATGATATAATTTATATCCTTCACTTTATTTGACAGCTATTTTTTGTTTATGTTTGGTTATGTGGTTTACTGGAGCCACAGCACCTCTCTTTCACCAGTTGTTTCAGTAAAATTAATCTGCCGTACATTTATAAAAGGGTAGTATTTACCACTGAGCTCAGTAACTGAAAGTGGAATTCGGAATGCGTTTTCAGTACTGACAGTACTGGCAGTAAATTACTGAGGCGCGTTCCAATTTTACTATTGCGTCAGTACTGAATAAATTACGGAACACAACCCAAATACTCTGACACTGTCAAATTGACAGTAACATTTATTTTTGATAATTTACTTGTTAATTATTATATAATATCGATATAAAAAGATAACTATGCCAAAAATAATATCAGATTCTAAAGTAAAAGAACTTTTAAGCGCAAAACTTCATTTTGATGAAGTTATGCCAAATGGCAGGAAGAGTAAAAAAGAAACGTTTTAGGTTTTACAAATATTAAATCACACATTATTTTCAGCTAAGCAGATCAAAAATTTTTGAAATTTAAAAAAATAAGGGGGAAGTAAAAAAATAAAAATTATTTGCTGTTAGGTTCAACCTTTTTGTGAAAAATCTAGTAGTTAATTTTCCTGTCTTTGAAAATAGCATCCATTTGGTGTGAAAAGATAAGCAATAATTACGAAACTTTTTCTTCTTTCAATTTGCAAGTTACCGATCAGTAATAGTTCTGGACAATAGAATATAATTTATTAAAAGACTTTTCGAAATTTATATTTCATTACAGGCTTATCCTATAAATATTTACATTAATATTTAACATTGCACATTTTTACACTTATCACAAGAATCGCATTTTGTCAGTCTCAAACATATTTTTAACTTAAGTACTTAAGTTGATCTACATAATATTATTTACATATTTAGTACAAAATAGTTAACAAGAATTTTATCACAGAAATTTTACATTTTATACATTGGTCAGGTGGACAAAGATTTATCACAGAAATTGTACATTTTATACATTGGTCAGGTGGACCTTTAACAGATTCTTAAAGTTTTTTTTTAATATTCTCTGGTACACTGTTATATACTGATACTCCTCTGTGATATATAGAATTTTACAATATATACATTATAATTATTATTAAGCCACTACAAGTATTAACGTCCAGTGGCTTTAACAAAATACCCATTCACCATTGGAGTCCAATGATTGGACAACATTCACGTGTGTTCACATAAAATTTTAATTTCTTTTAAATAAATTCTTTTTAAAGCGAAGATTATTATCCGCTAGGAATACTTTGTCTCTCCTGGGCCGTAGTCACCTATATCTAACTACTTTTTTTATATGATTTTACTCATCTACGCACCACCAAAGCCAAATTAATTGCATTTTTAACTACGAATTTTGACAACTCAACTTGACAACCGTTCAATGTAACCTACAATAATTTAAACATAACCACAATTACATTATAATTACGCTGTGACTAGAGGTACGCTAACGTGCCGCGATTCGAAATGTTAAAGGCACGTTAGTTACGTCATAATAATAATAATCCGTTTTTGTTCCCCGAGCGTTTTAAAATTGATGTCAAGCTGGATAGCTCATATGGTAGGGCGGTCGATTAAAATGCGAGAGGTACCGGGTTCGATGCTCAGAAGTTGTTTTTATTTTTTTATTTCATAAATTTGTTGTTTCTTTGTAAAAAAGTGTAGGGTTGGGTTTGGTTGGGTTGGTTATTTTGTTTTAGTTTTGTCGTAACATAAAAGCTACTAGAAGTTGTCGAACTTTTTTTATTTTTTTATTTCATTAATTTGTTGTTTCTTTGTTAAAAAGTGTTGGGTTCGTTGGTTGTGTTGGTTTGTTTAAGTTTTATCGTAACATAAAATCTTAAAATTATGACGATGTCATAATTACGTAACTAACGTGCCTTTAACATTTCGAATCGCGGCACGTTAGCGTGCCTCTAGTCACAGCTTTAAAATTTCATTTATAAATTTGCAACGTTGCCGCAGTCCCGATAAAAAAAATGAGCTTTATGCACTAATTAAAGATCTTAAAACATACATTTTTTTTGCATTTATACCTGCTAAACACAGTTAAGCAATAAATAATAAACAATAACAGTCTTAGCAACTTTAATATTTTTTTATTCGAAAACCAGACGGTCAATCTTTTTAAAACTTTGTAAATGTCTCTTAAGTAGACTCTACCACAACCTAATAGTGTCAGAACCTCCTTAAACGACTTCTGAATTTTTTTAAACTGTTTTTATAAAATTTACCCGTTCTTGATAATGGGTGAAAATAATAATTAATTATTATTTTATCCTAGGGATTTGTGGCAAAACCTGTAAAAAACCCTGACGGCTCCTTGAACCTTATGAACTGGGAATGTTCGATTCCCGGTAAAAAAGGCACGCCCTGGGAGGGCGGCCACTACAAGCTGCGCATGATTTTCAAAGAGGTAAGTTGAAAAAAATCTACCCATGAAGTGGAATTTTCCCACGGTTTGGTCGTACTTCCAGGATTACCCCAGCAGTCCCCCAAAGTGCAAATTCGAACCGCCGCTCTTCCATCCCAACGTCTACCCATCCGGCACCGTTTGCTTATCGCTATTAGACGAGGAAAAAGACTGGAGACCTGCCATCACAGTTAAACAAATTTTACTCGGCATACAAGACTTACTCAACGAACCCAACGTGAAGGACCCCGCTCAAGCCGAAGCGTACACTATTTATTGGTAAGTGCATTTTATTTTTAGAGGGGAGAACGCCGAAAAACTACTTTTGTGTTTTTTTTAGTCAAAATCGTCTCGAGTACGAAAAGAGGGTGAGAGCACAAGCGAGGGCAATGAGCCAACCTGACGTTTAAAACTGAATTAAATAAATCCATCATTTTTATTATCTTTGTGTTATATGTATGTTAAATTATTGTTTTATTAAAATAAAATAAGTAACTGCATCCATAAATTCACGTCTGCATGCATATTTTATTTCTCTTCACTATCAACAACTTTCCAAAATTTTTTGTTTCTTTTAATTCGAGCTAGATTTACGTTCTATAGCGATAAGTGTATTATCAATATTATTTTTATATTATTAGTATTTATAACTTGAATTAGGGTTTTTCGTAAATTGTTTTTATACAATGAATAAATAAATAAACTTGTCAATTGAAAATCTAAACAAATGGTTTTATTTTTACTTTCCAAACTACTTTTTATACTTCTTTTGTGTTGTTAAAAGTTAAAGGAAGTTTCGCTCGCAAGCTGACGTCACAGAAAATCGATTTAAATGAGAGTTGGGGTTCGTGGCGTAAGGAATTAGTGGATGTGCATAAGTGAGAGAGATGGACTAAATGTCCAAAATGTCCAATCATTGGACAAAAGAGAACGGGTATTTTGTAAAAGCCACTGACGTTAATACTTGTAGTGGCTTAATAATAATTATAATGTATATGTATATGTATTGTCCAGGACTATAATGATCAGTAACTTGCAAATTAAAAAAAAGTTTTGTAATTATTGCTTATCTTTTTCAAACCAAATGGATACTATTTTCAAAGAGAGGAAAATTAACTACTAGATTTTTCACAAAAAATGGTTGAACCTAACAGCAAATAATTTTTTGTTTTTTTATTTCCCCCCTAGTTTTTTAATTTCAAAAATTTTTGATCTACTTAGCTGAAAATGTGTGATTTAATATTTGTAAAACCAAAAACGTTACTTTTTTACTTCAAAAATGTCCATAAGGCGATGTACTATGCTCCACACCTCAAAGTCCCACCACGTGACCACTTACGGAACGCAGTCTTTTGAAAATTTGGCATTTAAGGCTTTTCAGGTTATGTATCTGTCAAAGTATAGTCAATGAAAGAAATAATATTTACAGTGTTACCGCTTATGTTTAAGCGTTAAAAGTTAATAAATCTTTATAGTATCACAATAACAATGGTTGGTTTATGAATTTAGGAATATAAATACTGCATTTAATGAAATTCCAAAGTGTAAGGTTAGAAAAATCTATTTTGACCAAAATAAATAAGTGGATTATTTGGAAGAGTGTGTTAATATGGTCATAAATAAATATAGGTATACTAAATAATTGTTGAATATGGTTCAAATTAAATTGAAGCTTTTATACTTCTAACGACAAAACTTGTGCATACCTCTCGGCATACCTACTTTAAGTTAGATTATAAGAAAACAAACAATTTTTAGAGAAACTTGCAATGTGAAAATATTTAATACTCCCATGACATGTGATTTATTAAAATATTAAAGTTATAATGATTTATTTGTATTGACAAAACTTTATGTAGGTACACTTTAAGCTGGATAAGAAAAACTACCACATTTTTAAATACCATATTATACTGTCTTTTAAATAATCCAAAATACTTATTTATTTTGGTCAAAATAAATTTTTCTAAGCTTAAAATTACAAAATTAGATGATATTTTTGTTATAATATATTAACCTACCTTTAATACAGATATTCTTATTCCATAATAGAGAAGCTAGATTTTTTTGTTTAGTTAAAATTATTTTATGGAGAAAACCAGATATTTGGACCAAATGCACAAAAATATTACTTATTTGGCACCATACACTTTAGAATTTCATTAAATGCAGTATTTATATTCTTAAATTCTTAAACCATCCATTGTTATTGTAATAGTATAAAGATTTATACATTTTTATCGCCTAAACATAATATTATTTCTTTCGTTGACTATACTTTGACAGATACATAACCTGAAAAGCCTTAAATGCCAAATTTTCAAAAGACTGCGTTCCGTACATGGTCACGTGGTGGGACTTTGAGGTGTGGAGCATAGTACTTTTTCTTCCATTAAGGCATTTGGCATAACTTGAAATTAAGTTTTGGTATTTATTTGGGGAGATTGAACGCCCGACGACGAAATATCACAGTCTGTGCTAAAGTTGTATAATCTGTGGTGCGAAATACCAAATCAAACTGGCATAACACAAAACATAAGTTCAAATAAAAAAAATTAACTGTAGGTAAATGACGAATCTTTAAAATTATTGTTTTGAAAAAATCTGGCTACCAACCTAAAGCCGCGTCCAGATTTGTACCACGTCGCGCAACCGTACCACGTTGCGAACCACGTCGCGCGCAATCTGGACGTCAAAACGAACGCCGTCGCGAACCTAATAAGCGTTGCAGCTCGAGGTACGTCGCGATCCACGACTTGTCGGTAAACTGACGAAACATCAAAGGATTGGTATGCGACGACGTTGAATATGTCTGGACGGGCAGAAGGGCAATTTTGTTTGTTTAGTTTTATTTTGTGTATGAAATGGAGTGGACCGAAGAAAATATTCTACTTTTAATTAGTTTACCTATATAGGCAAAATGAATGTTACAGCTAGTCTTTCTTGCACTGAGATTGCTTTTGGAAACTTGGTATCTTGCTTTCCTATTTTGGGCCCAATTGCATTAAGAAGATATTCAAAATCTATTGTTGACATTTGAGTGAAATTTTTATATTGACCACTAATTCTTTGCATTCTTCGCACCATATTTCGGTCTATTTCTAAATATTTCTGTTTGCCACCACCGCCTTTTTTGTTTTCGCTTTTTAGTTGATAAAGCGAAATGAATATAAATGTACGCTGCTGCAGCGATATCCATTTTAAAATCTGACTAAAAATTGGAACGCGGCAATGGTTGCAACCCGAGGTACGGTATGTTGTTCGAGGCGGCGTACGTGGTTGCGGGATGAAATTCGCGTCGTGGTTCGCAACGTGGCTCGCGACGTGGTACGGTTGCGCGACGCGGTACAAATCTGGACGCGGCTTAATAAATTATTTTCATGTTGGTTGACAGTCCAATATAACATTCTTAACCTAAAAAATCAGGTATTGTCAATTTGACATTTTTATTATCTAAAACCCCTTTAGAACTGAAAAAACATGGACACGCTTACCGGTTGCCAGGTGTTGAAAAAAGACGGCAAACTAAAGAACGCAGAAGACATTCTAAACCCTAAAATAACGACCGTCATCTACTTGTTTACTGCTGGCCACGTGACGGGCCGCGATATAGTTTTGAAAACCCTGAAAAAAGTTTACCACGAATCGAAAAGGCGCGGTGGCAGCTGGGAGGTGTTCTTCGTGTCGTCGGATAAGAGTGAGGAGGCTTTCAAGGCGGAATTTTTTTCCGACAAACACGGGAACTGGTACGCCCTGCCCTATAACGACCCGCGTTGCGAAGAGCTTAGGTACAAGTACAATATTAGCAGCCTTCCGAACGTAGTGGTTGTTAGGACTGATGGGGAAGTTGTCACCCTGAATGGGAGGGAAGATTTGGAAAGCATTGGGATTAATGTTATTGTTACGTGGGGTTAATAGAAATATTAAAATATGCTTTTTTATTCATTTTAATAAATACGACCACACCGCAAACGAAAAAATATTGACTGTATTCTATGGCACACTGTTTAAGCATTCTATCTAATATAATAGTTTGAAGATTAAAGTTTAACTGTAAAACATTAAGCTTAAAAATATTGATTTAAAAAAAATTTAGTTCAAAATTTTCGGTTTAAATGATTGTCGATAAATTTTTATTTTTAATTTTAAAATGGTAATTTTTGGATTAAAAATTTATCGACTATCATTTAAATGACAAATTCAAACCAAAACTTTTTATTTTTAACAATTTTAAATTGATACATTTTCAAACAAAATTAATTCTTCTTCTTCTTCTTTAACAATTTATTTTCTCCACAGAGTAGGTATATGGAGAAAATTGGTCTTGAGTCTTCTTGACTCTTACTGACCAGCCACGAGTGTTCTATTGTGTCTGTTGTGCTTTGTTTCTTTTGGTAATGATGTATCTTCTTTGTAAGTCGATAAGGTAAAACAAAACAAACAAAGGATGGTCGCCCCAGGAGGATCCCAGGATGCTAATCATATCATATCTTTAAGTTAGATTTTTTAATAAATTTAAATATATAGCTATAGGATTCTACAAGCGGACATGCAAGTATAGATTTAATATTAAAAGGCATATGGTGTCCTATGGATAGCAAGCAGTTAATTAGCAAATTAATATTAGCTCTGTTATTATTACATTCAAAGAAGAGATGATCTAGATCGCCAAATTTTCCACATGAACATAGTGGGTCGTCTTTTACTCCTATTCTACAGAGGTGTGCAGGATAGGAACAATGACCCATTCTGACTCTGCTTATTGTTGTAATATATTCTCTGTTTGTAAAATTTATGTTGTAAAACCATGGAATTTTCCAGGATTTATTTTCCAGGAAAGCATAGTTCTTCCCCTTATACACTGACGATTCTTTCCAATGTTTATGCCAGCTATTATACAATAATTTTTGAAAAATTCTGAGGAAGGGATTTTATATTTTTCTGTGTTTTTGTTTGGCTATAGCATCTGCCCTTTCATTTCCCGTAATCCCTGAGTGACCGGGGATCCAACATAGAGCCCCTTTTCCCCCATAATCTTTAATATCATTGTATAGCTGGTTAATACTTAAAGAAATGTTGTTAGATTTTCCGTTCCATGGATTATTTTTTATCTGTCTGCGTACGCTCAGAGAGTCTGAGAAAATAATAAATTTTTTTAGTTTATCTTTTAAACAAATTTTTAACGCAAAAAAAATTGCCATCTGTTCTGCAAGAAAGATAGAGGCAAAGTGGGTTATTTTAAATGATTTTTCAATTTTTAAGGAAGGAATATATATGCCAAAAGAAGTGCTATTTAAATTTTTTTGGAAAGAACCGTCAGTGTATATATGAACGCAATCTGCCCAATCTGAAGCCAATTTAATATTGAATAATTTATTTATTATTAATGGGTCTGTACTTTTATCAGCGCCCCAATCCAAGATTACGGGGATTTTGGATATTTGAGTGAAGTAATCAAAGCAAAATATGGGTATTCTAATAGTTGTGGAAAGCATGTCAATCTTATCCTCATATGTCTCCAATGATTTAAATAAACAATGTTTTTTAAAATATTTTGATTTGATATTTTTAAGGACTTTGTCTCTAATTTTAAGAAGCCCCGTGATAACAGGATCATTTTCCCTACTTAGCCTTTTTAGTAAAAATTTATCCGACAAAATTAATAACTTTACGTTTAAATGTTAGTAGATAATTTTTAATTTACAAAGTATAAACGTAGCTTTACGCTGTCTCTTTCTAGTAGAGACAGGGTGAGTAGGGGTGTCAATCCCGAGCCCTTTTTCCAATCCCGGGACCAGGAGAAGGAGGTGATTCAACTCCGTCGTTGAAGGCGTCCAGATAAGTCAGTATTTGTTAAAAATCCAAATAGATGGCGCCAAAAATAAGAATCTATTTATTTTTTTAAATCGCCTTTAAAACACGTTAAAAATATTGTATAATGGTATCTCAAATACATAATTATATTATTATAAAGTTATTTAAAAAATATATTAAACAATTAATAAAATTATTTATATTTTTATACATAACCTTTATAATCTGTGACCTTCTTTATCTTTACGCTGTGTCTAGTCTCACGCTAGCGTGAACGCAATTTTATTCTTATTCTCACGCGGTGACGTCACTAATTATAATCCGTTTTTGTTCCCAGAGCGTTTTAAAATTGATGTCAAGCTGGATAGCTCATATGGTAGGGCGGGCGCTTGGCATGCGAGAGGTCCCGGGTTCGATTCTAAGAACTTTTTTTATTTTTTTATTTTATAAATTTGTTGTTTCTTTGTTAAACAGTGTTCGGTTGGGTTGGGTTGGTTAATTTGTTTTAGTTTTATCGTAACATAAAATCTACCAGAAGTTGTCGAACTTTTTTTATTTCATAAATTTGTTATTCCTTTGTTAAAGTGTTTTATTTTTATCGTAACATAAATTTGCCCATTTTAGTTGGGTTTTTTGCTCAATGGGGCGGGGGGGGGGCCCAATGGGGCGGGGTCGGTTGGGTTGTGTTGTTGAGTTTGGGTTGGTTTGGCTGCAGTAAAAGAGTCTCGATTTTATTATTAGTAAATTTTATTACATTTGCAAAATCAAATCAAATAATAATAATAATAAAATTAAATAAAATAATGCGTGAGAATAAAATTAAAATTATTTTGACTTTAGCGTGAGAATAAAAATTAAATTGCGTTCACGCTAGCGTGAGACTAGACCAGTGTTGGCAACTCAGTAGATTTTCTACTAGATCTGGTGGATAAACATAGCCGTCTGGTGGGAAAAAATAAAAAAATCCACCATGGTGGATTTTCTTGTAGATTTAGTATAAATTGGTTGTTTTTCAATATAACGATTTTTTAAAATTTAATTGTCAAAAGTGTAAGAATATAAATTACAAAAACTAAAGTCACTAGATTTTTAGAGTCCCTATAAAGTTTAAACATGGGTGCTTTTGACTTAATCTGATTATTTTTAAATATATAGTAATAATTATTATTATTTATAGAAGTTATATTTATTTTATTTTGTGTTGTTTCTTTTTTAAATAAATTGTGCTATTATAGTTTATCAAAATTTACAACCCCCCCCCCCCCCGCTTTTCACTATTTTTTGACACTACCTAATTTCTGGTGGTTTCTGGTGGATTTTATTTAGGCTTTTGGTAGAACTACTTCATCTCATGTTGGCAACACTGGACTAGACACAGCGTTATCTTTATCTCTGCATATCCTTACTTTAATAAAATTATTTTGTCTTTATTGTACATTTTTGGGCACTTGGAAAATACTTCTTTTCACTTTACGATTAGTAACATTGCATCCCGGAACACAACAAACTTTTCCCATCATAAAAAATAACCCAGGTAGCACAATGACGTCTTAAATACGTCATTTTTTGGTCGGATCTGACGTCATGAGACGTCCCAACCGAGGTCCTAATGACGTCTTGTCGACGGTAAAATGTCACAGCCCAATGACGTCAGAGAGTGACGTACCAGTTAGGTCAGACCATAACGTACCGATAACGTCAGGCTGTAACGTCCAATGACGTACCAATGACGTCATGCCGTAACGTCCAATGACGTTAAAATAAGCACACAAAGAAAGCAAATTGCATTCTACTGGCAATTGGCGCTCATAAGCGTCGATAACTGTATACTGTCGACGACGCTTATATGCGCATATTGCCAGTAAGCAAGCAATCGGCTTTCCTTGTGTGCGTATCTTTAGACCGTAAAGTACCAATGACAACAGACCAGAACATATTAAAAATACTAAGTGTAAAAAACAATTTATTAAAAAGACAATAAATAGAAATAACAAAACAGGAAATAAATTATTTTATTCTATGGTCATTATAATGTTTACATCCAAATAAGAAAAAATAAACTTAAAGCTAACATAAATTATTATTATCATTACTAATTTCATAAATTGCACCAGCTAGCTGCTCAGTTAAAGAAGGACCATTATTGGCGGGCTGTTTTCGCTCGATATTTGACAGAATTTTTTACTTTGCTCTGCAATTGTTTCTAACAAATTTAGTACCTTTTTTATTGAAAGCTAAAAAAAGTAGTCTTTTGGCAAAAAGGATTAGTTACAAAGCCTGAACAAAATACCTGATTCTTCCAGGATTTGAATCCGTGAAGATGTCGGCAGGATTATTTTTAATTTCGTTGTCTTCAATTGAGGTACAACCTAATTTAATGCCCTCTTCTAAAGTTCGCCTTTTGAAATCACCTATTTTTGGGGGAAGATGGAGCCACACTTCATTATCTTCCTCGGAATCTGAAGATATGTATCTTTTATGACCTAATTATTGTATGGACTGTAGATTGCCTATTTTTATTGAAAAAGACGAACAAAAATTTTTGCACGTTAGAACAATTGGTGACCCAGTTCCTTCAACCACACCACCACTTAAGGGGTAATTAATAGAAGCTTATTCATTCTTACCTAAAGTGTAAAAGCATCTTTTTATTTTAAATAGTTCCCATGTGTCCTTGGAATCTTCACCTTTACGTAAGGCTTCTATTATGCTGGGATTTCTGTTTGTATGGAGGCCAAAAAACTTGGGTTTTAAGAGGGGTCATCCAATTGTCATGGACAACCGCCAATTTTCCCTCTTCATTACCTTCTTTTTGAGAAGAAAAGACATTTTTCACTAATTAAACAATTGAATTATTAATCATTATAAAATTTTGACAGTGGCGGCTGGTGGATTTTGGGCACACCCATATTTCAGTTATTAGACATGGGACCCACATCAACTTTATATGAGTTTATATACTTAGACAAGTTCTGCGCAAGCAGAATTTAAATTGAAGTTTGCGAAAAAAAGTTAGTTTTTAAGTGTGCCCCCCCAGCCTCCTGCCCATCCCCCAAAATTAAGATAATTCAGATTTTATACCATTTCTATTTTTTTTTTAA